ATATCATGTACTTTGCAGCTTCAGCCCTTAAACCAGCAGTTCTTCCCCCACATGTCACTTCCGAAGAGCATGAACTCCATCTACTCAAGAAAGGACTCGAAAATCTGAAGAAATCATCTCAAGAACGCAGACAGATTCTTGAATCTTTGCAAGAATCTGGACAAGCTCTTTCTACAGAGGAGGATCACTGGCTTGATAACGGCGGAAATTTAATCACCGAACAGATTCTCATTGACCTCTTTCTCAATCTTGACAATAATATCCCCTTCCAACTCCAATCAGATCAATTCGATTCTTTGAATTCCATCATTTCTTCTTATCAATCTGAGATCACTACAGCTACTGAAAAAAAGATGACCGACAAAAAAAACGCAAAGACGATGAATCAAAAGTTTCACTGAAGTCTGGAAAGAAATCTCGCACTTCGCTCTCAGTACCAATTCAATCTAAAAGGACCAATCGAAAGCACTCATCCGCCAAGCAAAGCCTTACTTACAACCAGCGCGTTGAAGTCATTGAATGGTACCATGCAAATGGTAAAAGCCAAACAGCAACCTTTTGACATTTCTCAGTTCTGTACCCCAACTTGGCGATCAGTCAGCCAAACACCAGTCGATGGGTCAAAGACAAAGCGAAGATTCAAGAGAAAGCCTTAACTGTCAGTAGTCAAACCAAACGGATTGCCGAAGTGAAATTTCCGAAGATTGAATTATTGCTCGTCACTTGGATCCGAGAATGCGAGAAGGGTGGTCGGTTTATTGATGGTGACCAAATCATTCAAAAGTGGAAAGACTTCGCACGACTTGAGAACATCAACAGTTCTGAATGGCTCAGTCTTACCAATGGCTGGCTGGACTCGTTTAAAGCAAGACACATCCTCCGCGAGATGAAACAACATGGCGAGGCTGCTTCAGCAAAACCTGAGACAGTTCAAGTCGAAAGGAAGCGTATTCTTGAAATTACAGCTGAGTTTGAACCAGCCGATGTCTACAATATGGATGAGACTGGACTTTTTTATGCGTAAGTCCAGTCTTTTATTTTATTTTCTCTTTTCCAATGTTTCATCTCAATTTTGATCAACTTATTTTATTGTATTGGATCAGGATGCCCCCCAATCGTGGCTTAGCAACCAGCAGCACTGCTGGGGTCAAAGGAAGCAAGGCTCGCTTGACTGTGGTGTGCGTTACAAACGCAGATGGTACTGATCGACGTCACATCTCCTTCATCGGTCAATGGAAATCCCCTCGAGCCTTCAATAAGAAGACCCCATCTCATCTTGGCATTGATTACTACCACAACACCACCTCATGGATGACTTCGGTCATCTTTGAGATGTGGCTTTCATCTTGGGATCGAGAACTTCGACTCAAAGGGAGGAAGATCCTTTTGTTACTCGACAATTTCGATACTACAACGGTTCCAGCCAACCTAATCACCAACATCACCCTGCAATTCTTTCGGCCAAATCTTACAGCTCATGTTCAACCCCTCGATGCTGGAATAATCCATGCCTTCAAGTGCCATTATCGTAAACGTTATCTTAACCGTGCCTTCCGACTTCTGAATGCTGATAATGAAGCTAAGAATGTCTACGAAATCGACATCCTTACTGCTATGCGTGTTGCGAAATTGGCTTGGGATTGTGTCACTCCTGAAACAATCAAGAATTGTTGGAGGCACGCTGGTATAATAGATTTCAAAGACAATGTTCAGTAAGTACAGTCTTTTTGTCCTGTTTTTCAGACTGACACTAACCTGCTTTTGTATGTATATATAGGCTTCCTGACATTGATCGAGCCAACCTTCCGATTCCAGATGGTTTGGACCTCGAAGGCAAGCTTCAACATCTTCAAGATGTTGGCCTTCTGACATCCAGAAATCAAATGTCCCTCTCGGAACTATTAAATCCCGAGGATGAAACTCCCTCTCATTCATATCAACAGCCATCTCCTGAAGATATCATCAATCAATTCAATGATCCCATTGAAACCAATATCAACGAACCTGAACTTGACCCAGTTCCAACCACTGCTGAGGCCTATGCAGCTGTCTCGGTAATCATGGCTCATATTGAGGGAACTGGAACACCTACCGGTATGAAATTAGACTCTGACTTACAGAAATACAGTGAGATGTTGGAGTCAGAGATGTTTTTTGGTAACAAAAAGCAAGCATCCATTACTGATTTCTTCAAGTAACTCCCTGGTTTTTTAAAAAAACCCTTTTCCCTTTTTTTCTTGCTAAAGTTATCTACACACGATTAGAGTAAAACAAGTAAACTCTCAAACAAATGAATGTACATACATATCTACACCTGATTGATGCAATACAAGTACGAGCTCCGAGATGCTTTTTTAAAGCGTGGTCTTTGCCTGTGGTTATATTGCATATATAACCATATTTCTAAAGCGTGGCCATTTCTAGTGGTCATAATGCATATTTACATGCATTATGGTAATAATGCATACATTTATGCATTATGACTAAACCTCTCAAATTGAATAATTGGTCAAATTGCATAGCAAAACTTGTCGCCGCAACTTATGCATTTGCGCGGGTTCGACTGTAGGGTGTTCAAACCTGTGCAAGAACTGTGCAAGACCGACATGCAAGATCTGTGCAAGATCCGTGCAAGATTTTTTGCACTAATCTTGCACATTAATTTTTTTGACAACCTGAGTTATTGTGTTCCAAACCGTGCAAAAACCGTGCGAGACCGACTCTTGCAAGTTTTGTGCAAGTTCTATTCATATCTTGCACAGAACTTGCACAAAACTTGCATGAATTAATTTTGAGGTTTGAACACCATAAATTTCATAATTATCTTCTACATGTCTTCTTGTTATCAAGAAAGAAACACCACTCCATCATGCCATCCTTGAGGTGAGTTTTCAAGCCTTATGTCCCACTTGTAAAGGGGCATACAGCGTGTATTCACACCGTGCCCAATCTTTGAATTCATCTTTACACTGGGTTTTCGGCCGCATTATTCAGAGTGCCTATCATGTTAGGATACCAGATCGTGTATAAAGTTGTTTTGAACAACTTCGCCTGCAGAGTAAAGTGATGTTTGTTTGTCAGGGAAGCAAACAATGTAAAGCAAGGTTGGGCATTGCGGTGGGGATCGATTCCACTCTGAGCCGGTCCGTTGAACATCTGCCCAGATGGTAACGCGTCTTTAAGCACTCCGAATCTGAGGCTCTGAGTATCCTTTTCCCCGCAAAGTTGTAGCTTTTGGCTCCAGGCTGTTGATAATTGCAGGATCACGTTACTTTTTCTGTTGGCCCTTCGACAGTTCCACCTGGGATGACGCGCAGACGGATCTTGATTGATGGAACTGGTCATGCTGTCAAAATTCATTTTGACCACGTAATCGGAGCGTCTCAGTCCATGTCATTCCTACCAGCTCTCATTCCTGAATCCTTGGGTGCTAGGAGAAATCTTCTAGGTACGAGAATAGGTTACGGGGCCACGTGATGTAGCCTCGACGAATTCTTAGAAAGCCAAATTCGCGTCTTACGCGATTGCACTCCTGTGCAATCTTACTAAAAATCCCTCATTACCTTCCAAGTAATGAGAGCTGTTTACCATTTGATTTACTTATATTCAAAGTGAATGGTCTCGAACTATTTGTTCTTCCCACTTCTTATCTTTATTTTAAAGATCTTCATTCCTCTCATCAATAGTATTCTCATTTACTCGAGACCAGACCTTATTTTAATCTTCCTATCATCGTCCTGATAGTTGATTAATCTAAATTAAAATTGTCCCACCACTCCTCTCCCTTTTATGATATTTTGTAATACTTTTTTAGTCCGCCCCATAGCGGACCTTTTTATTAACCTTCTAGTAAGTTGCATGTACACCTAGATACTATCCTGTATAGTTTCTCTTCTACATTGCAACTAGGGCTCTACGCCCCGATTCAAGCTAAAACCTTTCGACTATGAGTTTTAGCCGGAATCACACAAGCACCATACCTATTCTACCAGCATCAAAAGGAAAACTCTTGAGAAGCCACCATTCATGAGAGAAACTTTCTCAAATGCCATTTTGTTTGTATTTCTCTGTTGAAGTTTTGACCCTTTGCTATTCAGCTCAATTGGTTTTCACTCATTTTCCTTATGTCTTCTAGTGAGAAAAATGTATCATTGTACACATGAAATCTACCTCTTTCGCGTCTTTTGCGGTTACATATCGTCCTTACATATCCACGGTCACCTTCCTATTTCCTCCTATCAGGCCCACATCGGGTGCTCCTCCGATGCGCATGAAAGACCTTGGAACTCATTGCACCATATTCACCTCATCTCCAATTATTCCCATGCTGTGAGATACCTTACTGTCACTAGATGTTAGCTTGCGTGTATTTTTGAACAAATCTTTGCCCCTAGTGCGACCTCGAAGTCAAAATTCGCCGATACCTCTGAGACTTGGTAATTTACGCGCCGCTGCGGGTCAGTCCCCTCAAACAGGGTTTGATAGCTCGACAGAATTGAATGGATATGGTGACTTTGCTCTGCGATTGTTGCTATCGGTGCCCACGATGGAAGAATCGAAGAGGTACAAAATTCTGTATCAGTGACGAGATGTTACGGTGTACGCATGAGAGCTGACTGGGGTGTGAATATGCATCATAGGATTCGTCGATATATACATACATAGCTTTTTTGATTGAAAGCTTCGAAGTAATGACTGGCCGGAATATATACATAGACAGAATGGAAGCGAGGCAACGCGCTTTCAACTTCTCTTAATAAAACTAAGCTTGATGGGGGTAGGATCGGAGGCCGAGAAAGGTGACATCGCGGTGAAGCGTCGCGCTTTTATAAAGACTGAGCCCTCGACGCTCGTCGTGGTCCGCGCCTGCATTTTCCTTCCTCTTCTGGCGCAAGATTCATCAGCAGATAAATTCTGTGAACAGACCAATCAAGAAGAGGGAGAGCGTCCTCCAATAAGATTCAGCCAAACATTCTCAAACTTCCTCATCAATCATTATCATGTCTAATTATCTTTATCCTTCCTCGACTGAGACCTCTTCATACTCGACCGAACTTAACAGTCATAATACCAATGACCAAAGTACTCCGTGGCATCCACATTCCTGGTCTGCCACCCCTGATCCACCCTCAGCGCAAACTATTCAGGATCAACTCTACCACCAAGCTGAAGCTGAGCTCGATCCTGAGTTATCAGGTTCTCCACGAAAATCCTCAAACCATTTGTCACACTCCCGCTCGTATCCTACACTCCTCCAACCTCATCCAATCTCCGATGACGCTTCTCCAAATCCACTTCTTTCTTCATTGCGTTCAGGCTCAGTTGGTCTAGACATTCCACAGCCCGCGGGGCACTTTACGTCCTATTCTTTCGAACATAATCTTTTTCAACCTTCCCATCATTCTCACCAGCAAGGGTAAGTTTGATTTCATGCTGCCATATTTTCTGCGTCTAGTCAATTGACGCTATCCTTACTTATTGTAGTTCATCATTGATCCCATCCTTGCCATCTCATCAAAATCAACTTCACGGATCTCCAAGCCGGCTGAGAACATATTCAGATGCCTCGATTCAGAGCTCTATAGCTGGACATCCTGACCACTTTCGTTCCCGCAGCGGTTCAGATTCGTCGTCTTCATGGCCGAATCTTCACACACCCATTACACCAGCCGACATGGCCTTCCAGAACAACAATTACTCTGTTGCATTTAAATCCGATTATGACAACTCGTCTCAATTTGACCCCACTTCGCATCATCATCAACAACAACGACAGCTCTCTCTTTCTATCCAGGAAGCAGAAAACAGTCAAGGAAATGGAACCAGTCCGCGTCAAGGCATCTATGAACTTCCCTCCAGTCAAACAGATGCTCTTGAGCAGTACAATAATTCAAACTCAATCTTTGGCCATCTTGCAACCCCTACAAATCCCCGTCATCAGGTTCTGAACAGGCGGATGTCGAACGACCCTTCTGTAGACGATGGGCTATCTTCTAACCGTCACGAGTCGCCCCTCAGCCTCGATATACCCTCTGCTCCACTTTCTGGGCAACGCTCCCGTTCGCCCAGTGCATTAAGAGGTTCAAGCAACCAACACTTACAAGCACCTATGTCTGCTGGGGCTTCTTACTCGCGCTCTACATCCATTGACTCTACCTACACCAGGGCACGTTCTTCTTCCCTTGCCCTTGGTCACTCTTCGGACGAAGGTGGGATGTCACAGGCTTTTAATACTGCCTGGTCTGCCTCGGCGCAGCAACTCCCTGCTCAGATTGGTTCGCAGTTTGCTGGACTCCATATTGAAGGTGGAAATTCCTATGGTGTGCAGAGCCTCGAAGGCTTAGGTATGGGGCCAGGTGAAATAGCTTACAATCATCAACCAGGAGGTCATCATCAGTATACAACCCACCAAACGCAGCTAATGGCCTATCCGGAGCATTCTATCTCCCGTGCCGAGCGTGAAGCTTTGTTGGCGTGCGTCATTTGTGCTTTATCACTTTTTTGATTTGTCTCGAGGAGATTCTCAGGTATGAACCGCGGCTGACACCAATACTCCGGGCCAATTCTACCTCTTCGTACTCCAACAGACCACACATTCAACAATACCTGTCATCATCTAACAGGTTTCTATTGGGCGAACGCACTGTTTTGGTTCTGTCGGGTAAAGTTGCCCAAAAATCTTATGGTGCTGAAAAACGGTTGGTAGCTCTTTATCATTCGGTGGTAAAATGTCAAAGTACAATTTGCTTATCCTAATTCCATTCATAAAGATTCCTTTGTCCACCGCCGTCGGCATTGCTATTGGGATGCAGTTGGTGGTCTGCTGCAGAGGCTGATCCCAGAAGGCCCATCGGAAATCATCGTGTCGCGCTCGTTCCACCTACGACCATCATATCAATGTCTGGTGAACAGTCGATGCCGTCGGAGGCCTATTCTGAATGGATGTCTATGTCTGGCCATGTGGTAGGCGATCAAGCATCCTTGGATGATGTGGTGATTGCTGGTCGCTGTGTCGGGAAGCAGGTAAGATTTCCACTACTGCTATTCCATTATTCATCCGTGATTGATATATAGTTATTCCATTCAATCAGCTTCACATCTCCGAAGTGGATGAGAAGACTAAAAGGGTCGAAGCGCTCGTCAAAGTGATCGGGCCCGGCTTTGGCTCCCCTGAACATCGTCACATTGGCACCTTTCCCAGTAGACCAATTAAGGTGATTAGTAAACCTAGCAAGAAAAGACAGAGTATCAAAAATCTTGATCGTCAGTATAGCAGCTTTCGCCTATAACATTTAGGGGCGATGAATATTTCACTTACAACTTTTATAAAACAACCCACAGTTTGCATCCATCACGGGACAACGATCGCACTTTTCAATCGACTCCGATCACGTACGCAATATTCATGTGTCTTGTCTTCTAGATAAATAGACTGATCTGATTTATCTACATCATGCAGAGACTGTTTCAACCAAATATCTTTGTGTCTCGGGACCATCCGCAAGTTTTCCCGCTGGTGACTGGAGAGCAATGGCTGGCATAGATGAAAAGCCTTTCAGTCCATCTGAAGAGAGTACTTGTTTCGTAGCTAGAACATCCTGTTGGGATCCTTTCATAATCTTTTTGGTCGACCTCAAAAATTCTCCTCATTCGGCTAGTGCAGAACATCACGGTTCACCTCCACCACCCGGATACCCAAGGCCTCCAGCCAATGCACTCCCGGTGGCTCAAGGCGCAGGTCCGGTACCAATATACTATAACCAACCCATCGTCCTTCAATGCCTCTCTACTGCTGTTGTTTCACCTGTCATGGTCATCCGTAAAGTCGACAAAGGCTCAACTGCGACCGGTGGTGCCAGCCTCGATGGTCACGGCTCGGGAGCAGCCATGTCACGTGACCTACCCGTCGCACCTGGCGAAATCATCGGAGACCCAGTCTCTCAGCTCCACAAGATAGCTCTCGAGGTGATGTCGGATCCAGAGGGGGTCTATGCGAACGCAAACCAAAGTGCGCCAGGCTCGCCATTCCCTGGAGCAGGGTCTTTTTTAGCTTGTTTGGGTAAGAGCGAACTTGCAATCTTGTTGAGTGGGTCTTTCCATACTTACCGAGTGAGATTTATTTTTCAGGCGAGAATGTTGGAATACACCGTCCTGAGGCCTCACGTATCCCTGTCGCTCCTGCTTCAATGATCAGCCCTCCTTCAAGCGCTTCGTCGTTCGGATTGACTAGTAGTGAAGTAGCACTTGCGGAAGCTACCTTCATGTCAAACCAACTCACCCAGCCCATATCTCCTAACTCTGCAGCCCCCGGACGTGCTCGCAGTGTAGGTCCTGCAGGCAGGATAGGCGATACTATGGAGTACATATCTTCTGATGGTGGTAAAGTCAAAAGAACTCGACGCGTTTCAACCTCTCAAAGTTCCTCGAGTGGGATGGGGCGTGTCATAGGCCCTGGGAAAGCAGGCAGGCGAAGAGCAGGATCAAATGCGTCGACTGGGGGATACTCTGATCTTGGAACAGAGTCCTCAGATGGCATGCATCATAATTATCATCCGCATCACCACCATTCGATGCAACACGGAGCATACTCTGCGCCTCAACACCCACCAAACGCTGCCAAGGTTTGGACGATTGAATGCGGAGAACCTGCGGTATGGACGATCGTGGGATGTGACGTTGAGCGTCATACCTTCTGGATCCCGCCTGTCCTATTTGACTCCAAGCCATCTTCGGCAGCTAGCACGCAGGGAGCAGTAAGCGAAGTGTTCAGGACGCCTATTCCATACTGCCCAATTGGAGTGGACTCACCTACACCGATACCTGTCGTACATAAGTACTTGTTGACAAACCCCATATCGATGCCGAAAAATAGGATAGACGCACAAGACATGAAAATGATTAGTACGCCGTTAAGATTTCTTCCTCGACGCAACCTGAACGAGTCGTTACTGATCAGTTTCTCGCGTCATCCAGCCATTTATGGAGCAAATTTCTCAAGGGAGCTCCGGGTTTGGTTTGGCGCTGTGCCAAGTGAGATAGTGGAATATAAGTGCGCCGAGGTGATTGTAGCCTTGCCTCCCAGTGGGGTACCTGGTGAGCTTGGACCAGACGGAGGACCTAAGAAGCATCAAATTGTGATGGTCAGAGAAGATGGAGTTGTTTTCCCATCGAAGGTGCGGTATATCCTATTTTTGGACCTAACCTTTGGAAGCTAATTTTGATTGAATATTCGTAGATTTATTATGCGGAGCCAATGTGATTGAATCGATTGGCAGTACTTGGATTTGATGGCCTAGGACTCTTTTGTTGTAATTGTATGATCGTGTTATTTCTCTGGGATAAATGGGTCAATTTTTGTTAATTATTCAACTGTAATTAGTTTGTGGAATAACGTTCATTTTATCTTATTTGGTTTAAATTTCTTCAGTTCACCCTTTCAAGTTTGTTTTCTTCTCAGATGTTTTGCAGTTTGCAAGGGAAAGAATATACATCTTGAGTATAAGATAGCATGTAAATTGAGGAAAGGCGCTGCTTGCTTAATCGTTGCTGGTACATAATGCTGTAGACATGATGCCCCAATCATCAAAAACGTCGACAGTCAGTTGCCCAAATCATGTATTGGTATGGCAGTGTCAATCTGTTAGATACACGATCACATACATGCTCACGGTAGTGTGATCGTAGAAACTCGTCTTCCTGGCCGCTGCCAGTGGTGGTTCCGTACATCTTCCTCGTATTTTGCCACGTGTGCAGCAACTTCGGAGGCTCTGTTGGTGGGCAACGTACATTGACATGGCATATGTTGCATGCGCTGAGTATGTCGCATGATGTAGAGGAGCAGCATTCATAAACAAGTTCGGGTTTTGATTGCAATGTTGAATAGAAGTGTTCGGTACAGCCACACAAATGAACAGTCAAACAATCGAGACCGTGTACATATGAAAGTCATGCTACTAGAGATATACGAGTAGCTAGCTGCTACTCCTTTGCTCTAGTGTATAATGGATAGGAAATTTATCACAAGAATAAACAGAGAAACTTTATCCGTATTTCCATGCTAATTTACGTTTCTTCTAAGACCACACATCCTACAAGCACACAACTGATTAGCGATTATAATATTGCCACAAAAGAAGGGTAAAAAAGTCTTGATATCGATGTGCTTACCAATAGTAATCGGTTCCGATCTTTCAAGATTTTCAACTCTTGGGCTCCTTCTACCTCAGCTGTCCCTCCTCGGTACTCACCCAAAACCTTCCTCAAGGTCTCTTCTACATCCTTAGCCATGTGCTTTGCGTCACCGCAGATATATGTGTATCCTTTCTTCTGTAGAATCATCTCCCCAATCATGCTACGCTGATCCCAGATATCGTCCTGTACATATCGCTTCTTCTCAGTTCCAGGTTTTCGTGAAACAGCGGTGAACTACGAAATGGTCATTCATTCAGCTGCCTTGGTTCTCAAAGGATTTTAATTGTGATGACGTAGGAGCGAAAGACATCAGTACGCACCATCTTGAACTTTCCGTCCAATTCTGCTGCATATTGATCCCACTCCTCACGATACAAGAAATCTTCATTCTCCTTTCGACATCCATAAAACAACACAATATTGGCCCACTGCTCCAGGCCACCCCCGCGCTCCTTTGCCTTACGCGCACTTGTCACTCGTTCCTGTATAAATGATCTGAATGGGGCTACTCCCGTGCCAGGTCCGATCATCACCACCGGTATGTGTGGCGATGTAGGTAAACGCATGCTGGAACGCCGGATGTGAATTGGTATCCGTAACTCGCCTGAGGGGCCTAGGTACTTGCCCCTCGGCCCTTCGAGTTTGTATTTCGGTACCCCGTGATGACGCTGATCGATTGGTTGGTTTGCTAGTCGCTCATGTTCTCCATTGAGTGCGAGTTTGACATTCAAAAGCTAGAAACACGTGAACAAGGTCAGTTATTATATGCTGTCTGAACAATATCACATACCCAATGAAAGTTGTTTACTCACGTAATTTGTTCCACACCCGTATACAAGCCGGTCCCCGGATCCATACTTCAACACAACCGCCTAGACATCACAACGTCGGTAACATCAGCCTTCAGACCTTCTCCCTCCAGACCAGCATGAACATTATATGTTTTGTGTATTCAAGAAAGATACTACGACTGACGGTGATATGAACTTTGTCGGGGACCATCTTTGGTGAACTCGAGATCGAATAAAACCTAGGTTGTAGCCTTGGCAGTCCACTAACGATCCGATCAAACGGAATCTTCCATTCTTCTAACCAGCCCGCTCCGAAATTTTCTGACAATGGATCTTCTGACTCTAACGGACCATTCATCGCCATCATCATACATTCTCCTAATCGAAGCCCAAGCCGAGCTACTGTATTCGAGTAACGATCTTTGTTTGTACCCAATTCACGCATTTCCTCTCGAGCACGTTCGGTAGGTGCAAATTGAGCTAATGAGGAGAGTAATTGACGGGAGGCGGTGGTAGAGATGTCCAGATAGTGGCGGAAGATAGCATCGTAAGCTGCTGGGCTCGGGAACGGTACCTTGGCCAAGGTGGGGTCTAGCGAAGTGCTGATTGAGAGGAAAGCAAAAAGATATCAATCAGACCCAGATTCAATTCATTGCTTAAAAATCGAGATTACACACAGGTCTACTACCGTTTCCCTCTTTTTCCATAAACCCAGGAGTTTCATCAGACGCTCGACCTCCGAGTCCGGATTGACAGGCCAAACAGCGAGATGGTCCCCAGGCTGATACCGTAATCCACTGCCTTTCAAGTCAAATTCTACATGTACGCAATTTCGATCACCAGCAATAAACAGTTCCTTTGTTTCAGACACGGGTGCGATATACGGATTCTGAGGTGGACAAATAACATCGGATCAATGTCAATTGGTGAGCGATATCATTCTTCTACTGACCTTAGCATTGAAAACGCCGGGGGTGCCGAGCAGTGCTCGGGCACTGAGCTCGCCCTTGTAAACCCTGCTCTCATCGGCCTCTTTTGGATCAATCTCTTTGACATCAAAGTCCGCTACATCACCTCCAGCACCTTCCTCCCAACCCATCTCAGCTTGGACGGCTAACCACATGGGGTCCTTCCAAGCGAGATAATCTGATACAAGACATCGAGAATATTAGTCCAAGCGTAATGGAAAAGGTAAGGTAAATGTGGGGGAATTGTGAACTGGCTGACCTTCCTCCATAGACTTGTCATCGTCTCCCATGCCTAACTCTCCGATTCTCCGTGCCCCTTTGCCCGTCAACTCTTCGTCTATGATCTTGCCCATCGCGCCTTGAATGTTTAGAAATACATAAGAGACAGCGAATCAGTTTGAAAGCCTCTCAACTCAAGTGAAATAGGATGTTGAGGATTTGAGAATTTTTTAGATATTGTGCAAAGCGAGACCCAGTCTTATAAGGGCTAAGAAAGTTGCTGTATGAGGATGAATCAAAGCGAAAAGTCACTTGATGACTGATGTTCATTCGATGATCCTTCATGGTATATCGCTTATGCACAGGAAGTAAGGAAAGTATAGGATCCCGAAGATGAGATGAGGAAGACCGATGACCAACAAAATTGCTCATATGTACGATTCCCCAAGGCGAACACGACAAACTTCAACTTGCTGAGGTCGAGTTGATCTTTAGGTGTAGTCTTGAGGAACTCGAGCATGTTGACCGCATTATCGGTGGGCTCCCCTTCGCCATAAGTAGCCATCACGAAAACCGCTAATTGATCTTCGGTCATCTGATCGAGCGTATCAAAGTCGTAACTGTTGATCATAGTTGGAGAATGAGAACGAAGACCGACTGAGGTTCATTGAGACAAAGTCAGATAACGCACTCATCCGGATCGGCTACCAGACTGCTGATTCCATATCGTGATTTAGCTTCCTTTGCCAATCTGGTTGCGTAATCTTCGGCTGTGCCAGTCTGGGAACCATAGAAAACGACAACTTTCTTCTTCTAAAAAATCGAACAGGAAAGGCTTCGGTCAAGAGTATTAGGTTAGACCATATCAAGAAGAGGCTCTGACCTGCAGTTCCATTCTTTTGACGAAATCCCGACCTGCTTCTGGAAGGTCAGCAGACTGATTACCGGGCTTGAAGTTACCATTGAGAGTTGGAACCTTCGGGGTTGGGGTTGAGGATTTGGGTGAAGAGACAAAGTAAGACCATAGGACGTAAAGCGAAATAAGCCCAGCGAGTGAGGGGACGAAGAGTTCTGAAATATTATAGGACATGATTGAAGCGTAGTTTGAGCAGATCGAGATCGAATCCGAAACCCTTTAAATCGAGATGTTCACTTGACTCCAGAATCAGAAGGGCAGTTGGACTTGAACGTTGATACCCTTATAATACCCTACCTCGGCTTTTACTGGGATGCGCTTGATTGTTCTGTCACTCCTTTCCCCTGTGCTTCGAGGAGACATAGTTTCATCAAATAAATTCATGAGAGTCATATAGAGGAAACAAACACATACCACCGAAGCTTGTTCTATCAAGGCTTCTTACAACTTTCCAGCCTCGTCTCGTTCAGTCATCGAACTTTTTTTAAGTGGGTTTGATTACATATATCGCACTATATCTTAACGTGTTTTATCTAAGGTCCCGTTTGGTAGCTTTGGTAATACATCGTTACAACATAAAAACAATATATTTCACTTTGTCCCTATATCCTCAAGGGGCAGATTCGGTTATACGATTACCGAACAGTTGACCAAAAAGGTCATTGAAGCCAAAGCATTCGAAATCTGCAAGTTCATCAAAGAATATACACGTGGATTCCAACGGCAAACTAACGCACTATGTAATGGACAGGCTTCGAGATGTCTGAAAAACGTGATTCGACCAAGGCGCGATGGATGGCCCGATGCAAATGTCAGAAGAGAATGGACGGCAGGCCTTCCCAACTTCAGGCCCACATGACCAATGAATGCAAATCAATACCAGCCCAAATACTGGCAACCAATCAATAACGACGAAGCAAAGCAACCAGCATCGACTTCATCTTCTGCTGCTCCTGTCGTCTCTCCCTCTGTAGCTCCTGAAGAAAAGACTCTTCTTGACTTTACAAAGAACAAGAACAAACTTCATCACTTCAGTGAACAAAGCAAGAAGAAGCGCGACGAGTCATATGACATACTTCTCAGGTCTTTGATAATGAGGCGTATTCCATTTGCTTTCCTCCATAACAAAGATTACAAACTCTTTCAGAGCGTCTTTTAGTTATCGCGTACAAGCCTCCCTCTATATATATGGGGATGGATTGGATTCTTCCCAAGCTTCATGCAAAATGTGTGATTGAAATGCGCCAAGATCTTATACAACAAAGCAGTCTTACAATATCTCTAGATGGATGGACTGATGTTGGAAGGAACAGTGTATACACTGTCCTTGTCTTACTTGGATCTGAGGTCAAGCAGTTCATCAAGGCACTTTTAACCTTCACCAGACCCAGCACACCTCCAAAAACTTAGTCTTGGCACTCAATGAAACCCTGGCACATTCTGAAGTTAATTGCAATCAGAGAAATGCAGTTGTTACTGACTCACCATCTTCAATGGTCAAATTTTGGGTCAGTCTTTTGCTTTTCTCTTGGATCATTCCTTGCCTTTTGGAATCTGTCTATAATTGTTGATTGCTACTACAATGCAGTCCTTTATTGACAAAGCTCACCCAGAGGTTATTGGATTAGCATGTGTCTTACATGCATTCAACAACCTTGCAAAGGACATACTGAATCACCCACTTATGGTACAAGCATAGTTAATTACTTCAATTCCTCTGCAGTATTCAGCAAACATTTAGCTTCTTGGAGGAAACAAAGAGGTAAAGCATGTTTTACAATCAGCTTGCATGAGCCAATGGTTCACCTTTGCAAAGGTGTGCCTCTCTGTTGATGACCATGAAGCTGGACTTCTGAAATGTGTTGAGATGGATGAAGACTAGTCAATCTCAACTCCAAGCATGACACCTCAAGTTTGGAACATTGTTTGTACTTGTCATCACTTTACTGTGCATAAAGCTCTTCTATTGGTTACCAAGCCTGTAGTCAATGCATTGGCTGATCTAGAATGGGCCACCACCACTCTTGGTAAAATATGGAAGGAGATCTTGGGTTTCTACTTATCTCTCAGCAAGATAGATGTGTTGGTCTGGCCCAACCATTCAGATTTTAAAAAACAATGTCTCTTGTATGGTGATAAACAAGCCAAAGTATACAATGAACCAATTTGTCTTATTGCATTCTTGCTCAGTTCTGCTTATTTTTAAGTTGCTGTGTTGAGAGAGGTTCCAATTAAGGTTTTCACAAAAATACTTGTCACACTTTGCGGATACTCAAAGACAGAATGTATTAACTTGACAGATCAAGCACAACTTCACCTTCATGGCACAGGTCTTTTTCCTACTAAACAGAATTGTCAGTCATTTTCATTTGCCTTCCTTTGGTCCTTCTTCTACAAGTGCAACTAATTTGTTTCTTCTCAGAAATACAAGCATTGGATTACTGGCTCAATCTACCCTTACTCTCCAAAGAACTCAACCCAAGACTTTTGCAATCAAAGTACTTGATCTTATAGCCCATTTGGAGGAGTTGAAGGTGTGTTTTTGGAAATGGGACAACAAATACAAAATACCAATCACAACTAGCCAAAACTCATCTAACTATGATTTCACAAGTGAGGCTCACATTGATAAATCACACTGAACCCAAGGAATCCAACATGGGGTTGGGAAAATTGAAGTTGTTGAAGACAGTCCAGCAGACTTCTCTGAAGGTTTTTTGGGACCTGATGAGCTCAAATAATTTGAGACTGATTTTTTTCCTGAGGATGCACCCATTGATCCCTTTCTTTTATCAATGAATCCAGGTTTTGATGGGCTTATAAGTACCCTTTTTGATTTTGAGAATTTTGCTATCAACTCTGTCCATTCTTTCTTGCCTTTGAATGTCAACACTTCTATGGTGGATAGCTCTGGTGATCCATGGAACCCTGATGATATATTATTGTAGACTATGATCAGATTGCTTTTTTAGACCTTACAATGATGAAATATCTTCTTTTAGTTTTTCCTAAACTTTTGTCTTTGTGCATTGAACTTTTTGCAAAACATTAAAATTGATGAGTTGCTTTTACTAGTCTGCAACATTCACATTTGCTGTCTTCTTCAACACCTATTTGGTGCAAAAAAATTTGGAGTTTACAATGCCCATATCTCAGCTGGAATATCAAGGCTCTCTGCCCTTTTTCTAAGTCATTTGGTGCATCAGCAATGTATCTTCCCTTAGGTTTGAAGGTCTTAATTTGTTGAGGCCAACACAGGGGTCTGGTGATGGGTGTTGGGGATCAGGTGTTCAGTCTATAAGATGGATTGTTGGTTGAAGAGAAAGAGAAAGGTCTACATTAGTGATGTGTACAACTAAAGACTCCTCATTCATCTTTTACATCTCCTATGAGTCTTCACCAATGATTAAAAGGGTTACAGGATTGTAACATTATCCCCCTGTTTATGCCCAATCTTCCTCTTGCAAGATCTGTGTTCATTCTGTGGGCAGTGTTAAAAAATCCAGTGGGAAAAACTTTGCCCTCTCACTTATGCTGTGTCCTTTTGTGCTTCTCTGCTGTTCTAGGAAATCTGAAATTAACATCATTCAATAACTCCATACATTTTTTAGATTCACCTGAGGTTCCAATGAGTTATGCTTGGTCCCAAATCCCTTCCAACTAACTAAATATTCTGTCTTGTTGTATCTTTTGTGTCAATCTAAAATTTCTGAAACCTCCCATTCTTCACCATTGTCAATTATTGTTGGCTGTGGGTCTTGTTGTTGTTGTTCCTCAATGCTGTCATGTTCATGCTTCCTAAGTAAAGAAACATGGAAGACTGGGTGTATAACTGTCAGCCCTGAGTACTAAACCATAGTGCCAAAGGCTGACAAATAATAATAAGAAAAGCTTTAAAAACAATAATTATAGGCCGTTGCTATTTGCAGCCCACATGGAATCCATGTAGGCGCTGCCAAAACAGCGCCTACATGAAGGTTTCCCACGAGAAAGCGCCTACATTTATGATGTAGGCGCTTTTTCCTTTTTCAAATGATGCCTACAGGCTGAAAAACCAATGTAGGCGTCATTTGTGTACGCCTACATTCTAAAAATAAGATGTAGGCGCTATTTTGAAGCGCCTACATTCTAAAAATAAAATGTAGGCGCTTTTTTGAGCGCCTACATTGTTTTTTCCATGTAGGCACTTAAGTTGGTTATAAGGGTCTTATACACATGTGAATACAAATCTATAAGGGTGCTGGTATTAATATACAAGGGTGTTGGTATTAAATGATAAGGGTATTAAATGTAAGAGTGCGCATTTGATTATAAAATTATAAGGGTCTTATAGTTATTTATAAGGGTGTTGCAATTAAATCATAAGGGTGTTGGAATTAAATTATAAGGGTGTTGGTATTAACATATGTAGGCGCACAAAAATTACGCCTACAGTCAAAAAAAAATGTAGGCCCATTTTTGTGACGCCTACACAATGTAGGCGCTTCCAATTTACGCCTACATTTCATTTTTAGAATGTAGGCGTACACAAATGACGCCTACATTGGTTTTTCAGCCTGTAGGCGTCATTTTAAAAAGGAAAAAGCGCCTACATCGTAAATGTAGGTGCTTTTTCGTGGGAAACCTTCATGTAGGCGCTGTTATGGCCGCGCCTACATGGATTTTGTGTGGGCTGCAAATAGCAAGGGCCTAATTATAACTCAAACTCAGTTTCAAAAGTCAGATTACATATGAAATCATGTATGTGACATGCGTAGAACTTATGTAAAAGACTGTGTACGTACACAACTCTTATATTTCCTAAGGTTACGTACATTGCACAGCTGTAACATTTATGTAACTAAGCAGAAAGGTTTATACCTATATGTCATAAAAAGTTAAACCCAACCTTGGAACCACAAATTGTGCACATAGGATTTTCAAACTTCAGACTATAAAAACTCTGAATATGCAAAATTTGTAAGGATCAAGACATTACAATTTGACACTTTCATTTACCCAATAAAACCTCATCACCCACTAGATTATAAGCTTTCAGTACAGTGAACTTTACTATCATATCTGTGATTGGTTAACTTGTTCTTGTGGTTATCATTTTCTTTCCATTATTGTTACTGTTCTTGGACACAGTATTGTCATAGTTGTTGATTACCATTTGTGGAATCAAAATATTCAGGAGGTAGTCCTTAAGCAACGCTTCCACAGTTACTTTACCGTTTGCAGTAAAGTAACAGGAAAGTAACTTTTTTTTCCAGTATAAGTATCTCAATACTTAGTATTGGTCTGACCAATACTTTACTCCCAGGTCCTTGGGATGGTATCCTTGATTTTGATACCGTCTTGAGTAAAAAAGTATCAGAAAACCAATACTTTACTCAGCAGTTGCTGGAGAAGTATCAGTCAACAATACCTCTTGTTTAGGCCTAGATACCAAGTACAGTATTGGTATTGTGGCACAAATACCAATACAGTATCAATTATAGTAACGGTATCACTTCAAGATACTTTACTCAAGGTAGGTCTTGTTGGTATTGTGGTTTTTGATACGGTATTGAGTATACTATTGGGCAACCAATAGTTTACTGCAAACCAAATTTTACAGTAACATTTTTTTGATACTTTACCAGGTATTGCCAATACAATACCAGTAAAGTAACTGTGGCAGCATTGCCTTAAGTGCTGCTTGATTGGTTTGGGATTTGGTCAGATCAAGAAACTTTAAACCTGTGTAGTACCTCTATTAGTCAGAGTTTAAAGTACTAAACACTATGAGAGAATTTAGTGTTTGTAATCAGTTTATTTCTAGTTAGAAAGATAATTGATGGATGAAATGGAGTTTTTGGTCACCTGAATCAGTTCTTGGAGTCAAGGGTCATCAAGTGTTGGTTTCCTAATCAATGAAATTAACTCTTCATCATTAAGGATGGTCTCTGCTTCTATAATCTCTGAGTCCCATAACATCCAATTCAAACCAGTGTTTGGCATTGTGTAGTGCTACCTCTTCATTCTCGAAAAATGAATCTAAAGTTGTGATTTTGGTGAATGTATCTTGTCCTATATTTTCAGGCCGTGATAACTGGTCAAATGAGAGCTTATCAGCATTGCTAGGCTCTAAGTCTGGCCTTCTTGACAGCGCTTTGGGTTTGGTTGCATGGTTGCCAGGGCGGAATTCAATCTGAAAGTCAAGCTATCCTAGAGTTTTGGCGCATATGATCTAGCTTGCTGTCTTGTTAGCTGCTTTGTTGTCATGAATGTTTCTAGGTTCCCATGATCCGTATATACTATTACTTCCAATCTGTTGGGATTGCCCTCTAAATAGTGGCACCACTCTTCAATAGACACAACAATAGCTAGGAGTTCCTTGTCAAAAATTTTGTAGTTGCGCTCTGCCAGCACTAATGATTGTGACAGATAAGCTATGGGGTGTAATTCACCATCATCTTCACTCCGCTGAGATAAGACAGCACATAAGGCAAAATCAGAACAATCACATTCCAATACAAATGCTTTGTATGGATCTGCAATTTTCAAAATTGGAGCTGATGTAAATGTCAACACTGAGACAGCAGCGCAACGCAGCGCAACATGGCCAGTTGCGTGCTGCGTAGCTCTACCAGTTATCTGGAAATTTCCTTGATGGCTAACGTACCTCTTAGAGTTACGCTATCCGGCATAGCGTAACTCGTGTGATTTTCACGCGCTATCTCAAGCTTGTTGCGTGGCGCTTAGAGTTACGTTATCTCTACTTTTGCGCGCTATCCTGCTTTTTTTTGTTCAATCAAAGACACTCAAAAATGTCATGATCAAAAACTCTGACTAGAAAATTTGAATCAAACAGTACTATAAAAGCAAAAGCAAATATCAAAACACTCAAAGCAAGAGCGAAGCGACACAACAAAACCACACTCGTGTGAAAAACTTGGGAATCAAAGTTGTTCAAGCTCAACTAAAAAAATTGAAAACAACTTCTTTATTCTACTTTCTTACTATCCACCTTTACTCTTTCTCGATTGATTTCTTCTTTCTTATGATATGCTTTATAACCTTTATCAATACCAATCATAGCATCTGTCCAACAAAAGCTAGTATAATAAGATCCCATAAACTTTTCATGCTGGTAATAATCATGATCAGCACCAGCCCAAAAAGGTATGATGTGGTGTAAAGACCAAGGGAAGTCGTAACCTGAATGAGCATCAATGGCCTCTAAAGAAAACAATAAAGATTGTATTTAGTTCCTGTGAAGATTTGGATCTTTAATGAAGACTCAAAAGGAAAAAACGAACATACGGACCACCGATTGTTCCAGCTCCTACGATTTAAACTTCAAGTTGATGTGAATGTTCAGCTGCAAGAACGAATTGAGCTGACTCATGATCTTTTTTAGATGATTCACATTGATGATTGTGAGAGAATATAATTGATTGTAGTGGATAGGATTGTGAAAGGGATCGAATGCTATAAGCTAATGGTTTGGGGAGTTGATCGAGAGGATTTGGAAGGGTACACATGCCTACACATGCTGAGTTGTTGGTATGTATTCAATCAAGCCCTATCAAGCCCCTGTTTTCCCTTACGCGCAACAGAGCTACCGTCACGAGATGCGGGGCTGATGCGTAGCTTGAGAAATAAAGAACCCGTTAACCCGGATTGCTAACGTAACTTTTAAAAAGAAGCCCCGTTATCCGGGGCTGCTAGCGTAACTTTTATGATATCCGTAACGCTATCAGATAGCTTTGCGCCTGGAGTTACGCTATTGTTACGCTAGCGCTATCCTGAGCGCTGCTGTCTCAGTGTTGTAAATGTGGTCTTCAATGCCATAAACACCTGATTACAATTTGAATCCCAAATACACGGGGTATTGTCTCTTGTGGGGTTGTGTAAAGATTGTTTTGGAAGATTGATTTATGAACCATCTGGAAAAGTTAGCAAATCCAATCAACCTCTGCAGTTGGTTGATGTCTCAAGGCGCTAGCCATTCAGTAACTGCTTTGACCTTAGTTGGGTCCATGCGGATCTTGTTGTGTGAAAAAATCAATCCTAAAGATTCAAACTCTGAGCGTGTGAGCGTGAAAATCTACACTTTTCTTTGAGCCACAAATGTTTCTTATCTAGAAATTCCAAAGAATGGATTACTGATTCTTGATGATTAGCACCCTTCTTAGTGTATATCATGATGCCATCAAGAAAAGCCGCCACATGTTTCCCTATATGTAGTAGTAAGAAGCCTTGCATAAAAAACTGAAATAATCTGGGTGCCCCCGTTGGTCCAAACGGCATTGTTAAAGGCACAAATTGACCCGCCCTGCAGATGAATGCAAGAATGGCCTCATAGCCTTCAGCTACTTGCAAATTCCCATATGCATTCCGCATGTCCAGTTTTGCAAATTCATCTGGATCCAATAAACTGTTGATAAGATCCATCATCAGCGGCAATGGATACTTGTTCTTAACCATCAATGAACTAAGTTTGTGATAATCAAAACAGGGATGTAAATTGCCATCCTTTTTCCCAGTGAATAGGACCAGCGCTGCCCATGGCAATGTTGTGTGTTGGATGGTTCCATTGGCAAGTCCTGAATTAATCAATTCTTCTAATGCAGTGTTCTTGGCTGGTGACAGTGGGATGATCCGGCTAGCTTGAGGTTGAGCATCCTTCACTAACTCCACCTTGAAATCATACTTTCTTTGAGGCGGTAAACATTGAGCTTTTGACTTTTGAAATAGATGAAGGCACCAGTGGTACACAGGACTGAGGGTGGACAAGTAGTGAAGTGTAGAGAGAAATGCCCAGCAAAGACCTGGGGCCGGAATGCGGGAGAGTGTGGTTGTAGTCCACACATAAGAAGGGTAAAAAAATTCCTCTCCTTCCACCGCGTATTCCTTCACTTCTCTCAGTCATCTTGACCCCTTTTCTTCTTTTATTTTCTCACTCACTCTCCTAGCTCTCAGCTTTTGAAGATAAACTTTTCAACACCCACCCACTGTCCCAGGGGAAGAGAAGCCCTCCTCTGGTTCTTTGTTATCACCCCGGAGGGACTGGCCTGACCTGGAGATAGACATCTATCAGTGGGGGCTGGCCCCTCTGGGGCATACCCCCACACCACCATTAGTAGATTAAAATATTTATTAGTAGTGGTTACAAAGAACCTCCGAGGAAGGAACCTCTTTCTTTGGAAGCTAATATCAGGTTATATTATATGTAACAGTTTTGATATTATGTGTTTGTTTATTTCAGACATACTACAACCTGACACCTGAGTATTAGTGGATCAGGAATTGAAAGATTGAACTCACATTGCGGGGCTGTTAGTGTACTGGGTAAAATACATGCCCCCTTGTCATTATTCCTAATGTGCCCTGTGGGCTCCTCTCTTGGACCTCCAGGGGTATGGTGCAGATTTGACAAGGCTGGAACAGCAGCCACAACATGATCAATTGTAACGTTGTTTGTGGTCTTCTCATTCTCATCACAAGGGTTTCAACAATGTTGTCTCGTAAGGCTGTCAGGATCAGTGGGGTTCTTGTGTGTCTTGGTATGTTGTTGTAGTAAAGAAACAAGCTTGTCTTCCATTGCTAACATTGACAATGATTCAAAAGAAAAATCAGACTCACTCTGTGGGGATGCTAACACGCTATTAAAAGTGCACATACCCTTGTCGTGGTACCTAGTGTCCCTCCAAAGTTCTGTCTTGGGACCCAAAGAGGGGTTTGTTGGTCTTGACAACTCCACGGAAGTGGAGACAGTGAGAATATTGGCAGATGCTACACTGTTCTGTGTCCAGTTAATCCTTCGGAAATTGGATTTGATACAAGGGATTCCAAGTATGCCATCATACATTTTCTTCAGGCTGGTAACAATGAAATTGGTTGGGTGAGTGTCATGATGCATAAATAAATCCTTCTCATGTGAAGACATGGCTTTGGATCTGTTAAAATCTGTTATCTTTTTTTATGTACTCACTCTTTATTGAAACAGGTTCACTTCTTTAGCAAAGGCCTCTCCTAATATGTTGTGAGTGGCAACTGAGTCCATCAGGAGTTGGGCTGGGGGTCTGATAATTGGTGTGGTACAGGGTATTTGGGTCAAGGAAAAAGAAGTTGATAGAAATGTGTGGGTCTCTATTATTGCAATTTAAAACTCTACCAGCTCCTATTCCTATTGAACTACTCAAAACCTCTAAGCTCAAGCAAGGCACAACCTTCAGGCTTGAGCGCCTCCATTTTTTGAAGCATCTCCACAGCTAGTACCTGCAATCTGATCATTCACTTAAGCTCCTTTGCCACTCATAGCCACTAATTGACTCTCCAACTCAGCAACTCTAGCACAATGACCTCCCTTTCAGTTCCCTCCCTTCCAGTTCCCTCTCTTCTCGCCGCCCTTGTTAAGGCACACATTGGCAAGAGACCTTGTACTGCACAATGGAAGCATGAACCAGTGTGCAATTGTTGCGCTTGTTCCTCATTGGACAAATGGGTGTAGGAAGATGAGATGCCCATGATGTTAGGGTCTTGAGTGGGGGTGATGGAAGTAGAAGTGTCAGCTACACCACAAATCTTATCATCTAATTTAATTGCTTAATTTGAAATCCGTTCTATAGTAGTAAACTCCTCTTGAATCAACACCTTCACTACTCTAATCCCACACTTCAACCCTTGTTTGTACTGACTAATCAATGTAGTTACCTCCCAACCAGTATCAGTAGCATGAATGTTAAACTCATAAGTATACGCGGCAACAGTTGTTTTCTGGGATAAAGAATGGAACAAATCCCTCCGCAGGACTACCATGGGTACTGCATCGAAGTTAAGGACAAATTTATTTCAGTTTGATAAGACTATAAGTCTCCTTTGGGAGTAATACTTACAACAGTATTTATAGTAATTGATATATTTTGTGTTTTTTTGCACTTTCAAAACTGGGAATAATACTTATAATAGTATAGAGATTATTTCTCTGGTGCCTTATATTTTTCTCTGTTATCACAAAGTGATCAGCAAGTGCCCTTGTGCTGGTTTCTTTGCGGAAGGCAGTCTCAGACAACTTCTACTAGTCATATATTGGTAGATTATCCCTCTTTAGATGTTGTAAAGCTCTTGTTGAGCTTTGAATACTACACCACAGGGTTATGCATGTGGGGTGGGAGATAATAACCAAGCCTTGGACCTTAACATCCTACCTGTGGCCAGGTCTATAGAACTTTGAAGGCACTGGCCAATCAAGATATTGGGTACAAGTGCTTTTGAAGCCATCACAATTTACAAAAAAAACAACCAAGCATGATTTGTCATTTATGACAACACCAAAATGGTTAGTGGTAAAAATTTTGGTCTCATTTGAAATTTCATAGAAATTGGATTCAAAACACTACCCCTCATGTTTCCTTCAAGGTTCAGCTATTCTCTCAACACAAGGGCCCCTTTGAGCATGATCTACATACATAGTCATATCTTATGCATAAGCAGTAAAGTAAAGATGTAACTGACAGGATAAAGGATTAAGAGAAACATATCCAATATAACAAGCAACACATCAGTAACACAAATCTTTAACAATGCTATGAAAAAGATAAAAAAGCTTTAGATATTTTGCTCCAATATCATAAGACATGAGGAACAAGATCTCCAAAGGTAAGAGAAATAACTCTACATATAGAAAAGAAAAACAAGAGAAACGCAAAGTGCACTAATTAACCCCTTTCCACTTTATCTTCACTACCCCCTTGGGACTACCAGAGCAATCTTCACTAGATCTAATACCACCTTCACTTTGTCTTCATCATTTTTAAAAATCATAAGATGAGAGTTACATTAAATACCCACAAAACTGGTGTTTAACTGGACTAAAAATGATCAGTTCCAACATGTCCTTCTGTGGACTGGGAAATGTGACAAATATGACACACTGGTGTGTAGAACGTTGGGTGCTTTTGGTATAATAGCAGTCTAGACCCACTTTCACCTACTGATCTCTAGCTACCCACATTTTTTTCCCTCAGGCCCTCTGGCCAAATCTTCTCTACAACTTCTAGTCAGTTGACTCAGATCTTTTCCTTTTATGCAGAAATGAACCTCAAATCAAATCCATAAACTATTCTTGAACCAGGATGTGAATCCAAACATTGAATCTTGGAAGATCAGGACTCCCTGTGGCTAAAAAGTGCCTTTGTGGTGTACAATTCCTTGTTTTGTGTGGAAAACAACTTGTGCTGTAGACTTGTGTTAAGGTAGAAATGGTCACATATTGATATGCAAGTTTCTCACCAGTGTAAGAGACTAGGCAAAATATCACACCCAAGCCAGAATGTAGCATTGATTTCTCCAAGACTGTGGTAGCCCATAGTGTTTTTTGGAATCTAGGGCCAGTGACAGTACTCAAATTTCAACAAAGCATATGGTTGGATAGCCCTACTGAACCTCATGCTACAATTGAAATCTGGCCCTGATTGGATATTTTTTCCATCTGTTAATATCAAGTACTTATTTCTAGCCTGAACTTGGATTTGATGATCTGAAATACCTTCAATGCATATCCAATCAGGCTACAAAGTCGTATTTCAAAGCAGTTTGAGGCAGGAATTTACACCATTGTGTGTTGAAATTTTGTTGCAGGGGCTGGGATGTAGGCATTGTATGTGTGATGCACCAAAATGATTGGAGGGGAAGCTTTACCAGCTCAAAGTACAATCAAAACAAGATCTTCTTGCAGGAAAAGTGCAGGATAGTGGCAGTTTTTTTTGTTGGGGAGCCATTTGCTGAGTCTGGGAGGGCTCTGGAAACCGTTTTTCTCTCAATCCAACCAAATAAAATGGGTCAGGTTCTCACTCACAGCCCAAGACAAAAAGGTAGACATTTTTTAGTGTTTTACATATTGTGCTTGCATGATGTACTACATACAGTCACATAGGAAACCATAACATCCAGGGGGCAGAACTTGGGAACCAGGTCATGACTCATAGGAATGGATTATAAATCAGATGTGAGTTTGGGGAACACCACTGTATAACAACATTTATGTATTTTTCTGTGATGGACATTGGACATATGTTTTCATAAGTTCATTGGTCCATCCCTCATTGCTCCACTTACTCACTGAATTAGTATGAAAAGATTTCTCATATATGCTCTGTCTGATTTTGATATATTTGTGATAGATGTCAAGGATTCAATGCACTCTACCTGATGTTCTTCAAACATTTCCACATTAGCTTGCAAGTTGCTACAATAGTTATATTGGTATTGTAGTGGAAACTGTAACATACAAATATAAGCCTATCTATATGTTGGTGTGCTTGTTGACAAGCACACATGGACCACCTTTCAGGCAGAAAGGAGGCTCAACAGTGAATGTGAATGAATAATCTTGGTGTTGCATTTGTCCTTCTTGCCTCTCTTTGATCAATCAAGTAATCAACACCTTTCACTATGCTGGCTCCTGTCAAGACTATGATAACCCCAGATCAGGTAGCTCCACACCTCTCAGCTAGCAGGTCTGGTAAGCCCAATGAAAGACCCAAATTCCCTTTGAAATGATCTGTGATTGTAACCTCAGCATTGTGACCTTTGATCATCTTCAACCTCACCTCAATGTTTTATGAACCTCAGATAGTGATGATCAAAACAAATATTTGTGATCAGGCTGAGAAATCATTTTTAGAATGGGAGTGTAAGAAGTCTTTGAGAAGTGTATTTTTGGCTTCTCAAAAAGTTGATTCTTTGTGCCTGGTTGTAGAGTTAGGGCTCATACCAGGCATCACCAGCAAGTAAAGATACTATGAAGCACATTCCTGAATGAGGATTGTATTTGTGGTCATGAAAATAGTTCTACAGAAAGATTGAGATTTCACCAGATCAAATAGTAAAATTCTAGTCGGACTCCATTAAAAAGTATTGTAACATTCAATCTTATGACTCGAAGACCATTGTATACTCTGCGTCGACGTAGTCTTGGTCGATATTGAATTCAATTCCTTGTGACTTGCAGAACGATGCCAATGGAGACAGTGTAGAAGCCATAGCAGTAGGTCCAGTGACTTTGACTGTAGACACAACTATTGCCTTGAGTTTATGGAATACATTCGTAGTAATGAAGTCTGAAAATTCTAACAGAGTATCCAGGAGATCACCGTGGTAAGGCCAATGATGAAAGTATGTAAGATGTTGTAAATTTTTACAATTGATAAAACAGGGGATATAGCAACATTCGGAAAGAGGCCAAAGTTTCAGATGCCTCAAAGCGGGAAGGCAAAATTGTATTTGATTTGGATCAAAGTCAGCCAGGTTATCTTGATATTCATCGCATTCTCGAATCCTGAGCTCCAAATGAGTTAGATGAGGCGCCCAATTACTGATTAAAGTAGGCGCATCCGATAGCGAGAACATGTCACAGTTGATGATCGACAGATCGACTAAATGAAGAGGACCTTGACGGCCCCATTCCCATTCCTTGAGCGTAACTTTGTAAAAGACAAGTTTTTTGAGGTTCATCAGATTCGAAAGAATGACAGAGAACTTAGGCCTTGCGAGGTCTGAATGCCTAATGAACGCGAGCTCGAGTGATTCGAGGAGTGGAAGGTGTCTGATTGGTTCAATGAAGCACTCTATGGCTGTTTCTGTGTCCGGAGCACCTCGAATCTTCAGATGTTGAAGCTGTCCGAGTTCAGAAAACAATTTATTGAGATTGCAACCCAAGTTGCGCACTCCTGTTGATCCATGGCCGTATGGATAACTTGGACAATGGAGTTGGAGGGTGGTAAGCCCTGTACACTGAGAAAGTACATTGAGGAGGTTTTCGGCAGAAAGACCGCATAATTTGCGAAGCGTCAAGTTCCAATTGTTTGCAGCGACTTGTTTTAAGAGGATTTCTTTCACCCTCCCAAGGTTATATCCACCCATGCAGTCGACGGCCAGATTGTCAGAATGAATATTATCAACGTTCCAGTAATCCTTATCCTCTTCAATGAACTTGATTTTGGTTACATCAGCAGAAGAGTGCACTGAATATGGGCGTCGTTCGTTGTCCACGACGGCTTGCTTAATAGAAAAATTGTTCGGCAATACTTCGAGCCATTCCGCTCTTAACCCCACCTCTAGGACTTCAACATGACATCCATGTCTAGGTAATATTTCCTTTATCCAGAAGGACATTGGAGTAGATATTTGAGAAGGGAACCGGATAGACTAGAACAGAAGTAGAAAAAGATATCAAGCAGAGAAGATCAGATCGTATAATCAATAATTCTGGTTATTAGCCGCAGTTACTTCGATGAGGAAGATCCGACTCGCCTTCCATATCATAGGTCGACAGATCGAATAAATCCTACGATTCACCACAGAAAAGGATTGGAAGCTAGTTAAAATTGGAGATTCAGGTTTATGTTCATAGATCCATAAAACAGTCTCCTCTCCAGACGAAAGGGTAATCCCCTGTTTAATCTTCCTGAATTGATTATCTGTGCATTCACTGCGGTTATTGATAAGGTATTCTATAATCTCGAGAAGAATTTCATCTGGTAGGCGATCGAATAGGTCTTCGGGTGTAATTAATGGTTTTTCGGGTATGTATGGTCGATCGTTGGCTTTTTGGGGGTTCTCCATTTTCATCAACCGTTGGAGCTCTCTCCTTTATCAAGAAAGGTCAAGATAGTACTGATGTAGAATCGATGAAAGTTAAGGATCAAGTTTTCTTTTCAAAAATTCAAGAGAAAGAATTTAAAAAACAAGTGACTTCATACAGCTTCATTTGCGAGTAGTATGACCTCATCACATTTCTCCCCAATTTGTTCCCCAGTTCATCGAGCATTCTACATATTGGCAGTTCACTTGACCATCTCATGGTACACTACGGTGCAAACTTTAAGGGCAAATATGTGTTCAAAACACCCCCAGTAATCACATTTGAGAAACATGGGACTTTACCTACCAGTGACAAATCTGTTTTGTAATTGTGATGTGGATTTTGAATTTTTGTAAAATATATGTAGAGCTGATGTACTTGGGTCATAATTTGAAAACACAAATTCTCGAGGTATCTTGATACCTCATCAGAACATAAATTGACCACAACATAAACTGAATGTGCCCATTATGATTTCACCAGGTACTTCACATATAATTTCCATCTTGGACCGCTCAGTGATGTAGATTGTTCATGAGCTTCTGATACCAAAGCTCTGTCGCAAGCAAGCCCACGAGACCCGAGGTTCGACTTTTGGAAAACCAAGTCATGAAAACCTTCACTCAAATCAAGTCATTTCCCTTTTGACAACAAGTCTCAGATCACTTTTCACATTGTTCCGCTCTTTGACTTGTTTTTTTATTATCTCTTCTTTGTTTTACTTTCTTTTCTCTATACTACTATCATATCCATTCCCTTGTTTCCCTTCTTATCCAATTTCGTTCATCAGTCTCGGTGTCTGCTTGGATTTGATTCGGTTTTGATCAATGACCCCCGCCTTCCACCTTCGCGCGACCTCATATATCACTCTTCTTATTGATACGGACCTGAGTTAGGCCATACAACCAAAGACCAATCAGTTCCCAACTTGAAAGGCTTGGTGGGTATAGTACGACACATCTTTCTGTGCAACATGTACTAGATGAACTGAGTGTTTCTGCTTTTGCGTGACTTCAGGTAACTCAATTTCACCGCCGCGAAGATTGTCGGTCCGATGAACATCTGTCGACCTTGCATACCGATCGTGATATGATATTCTTGGTAAGTGAAGTATAGCTGCTTTATGCCTTCATCTCGCTTTGTATCTGTCTGTCCAGCCGTTATTCTAGAGTTGCTGACCCATTTTGATCTCTCCTGGTCATCACTAGTCCATGGTGATTTTTTCTGCTCATTGGATGTCCTTGTATGGAACCCAAAGGATTGACTGGATATCCTTTGCATCGAATTTTGTTGCTCTCAATCGGCCTCTCAGTTCATCCTCAAGTTTCTCAAAGTCCAACCCCCAAACAATAATATATTTCTCCCTGGCAAAAACTAGTGGCAAGAAGATGTACCGTACTGATAGATATTGACTGAATGGGGATTGGCTCATCATTTCCTTTTCTTTTGTTATATATCATTGGGATTTTCTTCTATGGCTACCTACAATTACTTCTTTACATTAAAAGTCTTTTTGTTGAACAAACATTGTTGTTTTTCTTATTTGTACGGTACATCCGGAACGTATCCAGCGTCTCATGTCACTGTGTTGCCCCAGTAAGCAAAGTATTGTGACCAAAAGGAAACCAAATGATGCCAACAGAGGAAATCAGAAATCAAAATCGAGATACCAATACCGATACAATAAAATGACAATTAAAATTGAATCAAAATCAAACCGATCAAGATCTGGGTTGGATTCATGTTCCAGAATCCATGTTTGGACGATGTGTGTATTGCATTTCATAAATGTAACCAAGAAGATTATATCAGCGATATGTCGTAAGTATGTGTGACTTTTATTGTTGATACCTTCAGCATGCCTGCTGATTACATCACGATTATGTAGGATGAGTGTTGAACAAAGATCAGAATAACAAGTTCGCAACGCAACCACATATGTTTACATCATGTTTTTACTGGGCATGTCATCAACACATGAAAACAACATCATTGGAACAGGATGGTGAAATCACATAAAGATTACGAATCTTTTGAACCGCAGTGTACATACTTATGAATACCCTTTCTGTTTCTTTTGTTCTTATTCCTCACCTTTTAATTGATCAATCAAGTTATCAATACCTTTTCCTGAGTTAGTCCCATCCATATAACTCCTTCTGGCCTCCATATACCACCATGTATTCTTCAACGCAAACTATAGCCACATATGTATTTCTCATTGAGGTCATTCTTAGTTGCTTGATATCTCATGATTGTAGGAGAATCATCTCACTCGCACTGTAGTCACTTTGTTCAGCATGCTTAGTGAGATACCCTGTAGGAAGTAAAGGACATTAGGAAAAATGGTTAGATCACAACTTGATCAATAGTATTATGGCATGCGAAACTTTGACACACACTTGTAAAGATGGTGAGATGACATCATACCATGTAGAACTCAATCACAAGACCCCTTCAACATATAGGTATGAGTTCAAAATGCCTAAGAGACATACATAAAATCAAGACAGCGTCACTCGCAAGTTGCAAATGACAGATACCTACACTGATCAGGGTAAAGGCGTTAGAAACCACACAACTGAATGACGAATCTACCTTTATGAAGAGACTTCTATAAACAGTTTGAAATTTCGCCAGATCAAATTACACATCTCTACTCACATCCAACACCTACATCAACATTAACATGAATTTCAACATATAATTTCATCACTTAAAAAACAATCTATCCTCTCGATCAGCGTAGGGTGGGTCATAATCCAATTCAATCCCTCGCGAGTTGCAGAAAACTTTTAATGATGACAGTATAGTAGCCACATCAGCAGGTGGAAGTTCGGACCAGTGAGTTATAACTATGACCTTGAGTTGAGGGAATACATTGGTGGTGATGAAGTCTGAAAATTCCGACAGATCAGCTGAAGCATCACCGTGGGGACCCCAATGTTGATAGTATGTGAGGTGACGTAGATTTTTACAATCCTTGAAGCAGTGGAAATACCGACAGTCGGAATGAGGCCAAATCTTCAAATGTGTCAAAGCCGGAAGACAAAATTGATTGCGATGTGGGTCAAACTCGGTAAGGTCATCTCGAATGCAAAAGTTGTCTTCAAAGTAGAGCTCCAAATGAGTTAGGTTAGGCGCCCAAGTACTGATGGCAGTAGGTGCATCTGATAAAAAGAATGTGGCACACTCGAGCATTGCGAGGTTGACTAAATGAGGAGGACCCCGACGGCTCCAATCCCAGTCAAAGAGGAGAGCGTTCTTTAAAACAAGATGTTTGAGGTTTTTCAGATCCAAAAGAATGGCAGTGAGCTCAGGCCCTACGTGATGAAAATACGCAAGCTCGAGAGATTCAAGGAGCGGGACGCGTTTTATTGGTTCAAAGAAGCACTTTACAGCTGTACGTTGGTCCGGATCACCTCGAATCTTAAGATGTTGAAGATGTCCGAGATGAGAAAGTAATCCGGTAAGATTGCAACCCAAGTTGTGCACATCCGTTTCGGGGTCGTGTGAATGAGGTGGACAATCGATATGGAGGGTGGTAAGCTTTTCGCACTGAGAAAGTACTTTGAGAAGGTTTTCGGGAGACAGTCCACATAATTTGCGGAGCGCGCTGTTCTGTTTGCCTCCAAGGTTATGTCTCGTAGGAATTTCTGTGCCAGGGGCAGAAATCCCATATTTATCCTTACAGTCGACGGCTAGATTGTCAGAATGAACACTATCAACCTGCCAGTAATCTTTATCCTCTTCAATAAATCTGATTGTGGATACATCGGCCGAAGAGCGCAGTGAATAGCGGCGTCGAATTTGGTCCTCAGCCGCTTGCTCGATTGAATCAAGTTCCGGCAGTACCTTGAGCCATTCCCTTCTCAACCCGACCTCTAATTTTTCGACATGACATCCGTGTCTAGGTAAGATTTTCTGATTCCAGAAGGACATTGGAGTGGACATTTGAGAAGGAAATCTGACAGACTAGAACGCCGGAGTAGAGAAAGGCATAAGTAGAAAAGATCAGATCGGGTAATTCAGACTCCTAGTGATCCATCCAAGTCACTTCGATGGGTAAAATTTGACTTACCTTCCACAAAATAGGTCCGCAGATCGAATGAACCCTACAATTGACGATAGAAAAAGATTGGAAGCTAGACAAGATAGGAGATTTAGGTTTATGTTCATAAATCCATAGAACAGTCTCCTCTCCAGACATAAGAGTAGTTCCCTGTTCCATCTTCTTGGCTTGATTCTCTACATATTCACTCCGATCATCGACCAGGTATCTTATGATCTCGAGGAGGACTTCATCAGGTAGGCGATTGAATAGGTCTTCGTGTGTCACTGATGTTCTTTTGGTTTGAGATGATCGATTTTTGGCTTTTTGAGGATTCTTCATTTTAATCGACTGTTGAAGCTCAAGATCTCCTTGAATGCTGAGAGGCGATGACAACAGTGAAAGTAATCGAATAGGTGTCCAATAGAGAACTATGAAAAGTGGTTGGCGTTTGTTGTCAAAGTCGAACCACCCTCGAAGTCCAAAAACCCGAAGCTGCATTTATAACAGTGCATTTCGTACAGGCTCATTCCCTTGACAGCTCCACACCTTCCGGTTTCTGCACCACGCCATGCATCATCATGAAGGATTCTATCGGAGGATGAATTCGCAAATGACCATCTTATATTATTGACCAGATTTGAACTCTGCATGGTCTATGGTTCGGGTGCAACCCCAGGATAATGATGAGCTCTTTTATGTGAGCCTTGAGATAATGGGCAGGCTGGTGATTAGGCAGAATGCGAAGAGATACGATTCAGGTCCAGTTCAAGGGTTTTTGCAACACAAATGCTTGCAAAGGGACATGCTATGCTGTCATGGCAAATATCACTCCTTGAGACTCCTTGGAACTCTCAACTATGTACACAATTATCTGTGTAGTGGCATCAGACTATTACCCTTTGGGTCTGGGAGGTCAAGACCAGTTTCAACATCTACCAAACCACTGGACGCAAAGGTCGCACATGAGGGGAAGAGACGGCTGGTCCTGAACTTTCATCCGGCATTCTCATAAAAAACCATTGTGCTCAAACATGATACAGGCAAGTAAGTCTTGAACTCACTTGATCTGATCTTGCGGATCAGTGTCGATCTTTTGTGACTTGGTTTCAAGGTCACATAATCGATCTTGGGTTTCTAAAATCACAACGTATCTAAGACTTTCGATGAGATCCAAGATGACCGAAACTTCCGACCAGACGCGGGCAGGGGCCTGAGGTATATAATGAGTAGTGATTACAAGCACATAAGATACGATGAGATGCTCTATTCTACGTCTTTTGAGGTTTAGCATCACAACTTCTTCAAGACCATCTTCCAGGCTAGCGATTAATTCGGAAATGGTGAGAAGCCGTTGGGCAAGATATGCGTATGGGTGCACAAGCCGTGCTCGAAGTGAGCGCCCATGGACCGAGAGAGATTTCCATGGTACAAAGACACAGCGGGCAGCACTCGTGCGTTGGTTACGATGAGCTGATCACGCCGGATTGCTGCGGTGTTGTAGGGACAGGCTCGATCTAGTTGGCAAATTATCAGCGATTCATGATACGCAGAGAATCGAGATACGTCGCACTTACTGGTGGAGCCATAGGCCGGTTGTTTTCTGCCAGCAGTCGTTGGAAAAGTACACCTACACCTGTGAACGTACAAAAATCGAAGACTGAGCTGCGCCTGTAGGGCCGAAAGTATGAGCCCGAGAAATGATTACCCTCAAAAACACCAAGGAGAACACCACAACCGATCGCACTTCCAATCATGCTCCGCACTCCCCCCCTTGCTGCCAGCGCACCACCAGTCATGAATCCAGATATAATAGCATTCCAAGGATCTTCCTTTTGTCGATACCTACAGCCAGAAGATAGCAACCGTTTTCATTAAAAAATCATCCTACAAGAATCACTCGAGCTGTCGACAGAAAAAGATTATGTACCCTTTGACCATACAATCAAAACTTGAAAACATTCCTCCCCATACCCCAAAATTCCCACCTACCACGGGAGCTCGTGCTTTGATAGCCGCAAGCGAACCTGCCAATCGGTCACCCTGGGGAGATGATCATTCAATATGTAAGCTTCAATGCTTGCAGTATTGCACTCGTAAAGAGACAGAAGGTATCGATTTCTGCCAGCTGTGCATTGCGTCGGGCGTACTTTGGCACATGGTAACTTGACTCACTCTCGGGCTATTCCTCATACCCTTAACACCATGCCAAACCGTACCACCGATTGCACCCATTGCAAAAGCACCTCCAAAGTCATTCAGGACCACCCATGGGCACGGATCCCTCGAATGATCACTAAAAAGTAGATTGAGATTTCAGCCAAGTAGTCGCTAAGGCACAAGTCAGGGATCAAAATGAAGAGAGCCGACTGACGCGTGAGACATGGTATTCGCTCGTGATTCGATGTTCTGTTCAAAAAGACCAACTTGGTAACGATGCTCTTGAGGATGAGAATGTGAAGACTGAGATTTTGCAAAGAGAGATGAGTGACAGTGGCTGAGCTGCAAAAAAAACTTATCGCAAACGACACAGTGGATCCGATGTAAGCTTGGAGGGGGTGACACGGGCCGGGTCGGCGGATTAGGAGGACTCCGGAGGTTTGCACCGAATGATCGGATACCCCGGCTCCGACGAGGTTGTACTTTGATCCAAAATATGTTGGAGATCACCAAGTTATTTAACTTGGCCATACTCAGGCGGAAGTATTGTTAAAAAACTTAAGAAGCACATAATTTCCTTGTGGTTTTTCTCTATATAGACCTATATAGACCACTTCAGAGTTTGTAATAAAGTCTGGGTTAAAAAATGTCCAAGTAGTTCCTACAATTGACCAATACATTTTTTGATCCATAACTGTAAACATGAGTAATGCAGTTGTTCTTCTGGCTTCAAGGTAATGGTCATCAATTCAAATCAAGGGTTTTTACATCATACCAAATTTGTGTCTTTTACAAAAAGGCACATAAGTTTTGTATGTACTATTACTAATCATGAAGTTACCAGTTTTGTTATTTTGGAACACCTAAAAATGTGTTCCACAAAATTTCTTTTAATTTATTTTATATCAGCAGACAATTTACTGTAGCTTCAAATCATATATTCAAGATATAGAATCTGAGAAAAAGTTTATCAAATTATTACCATCAAATCTTGCAATCTACACAACAATGACTGAGTAGCTCATCATGTATGGTTGCTTGTGTCAAGACAGTGGTAGCTCCAAATCAGTAGCTCCACACCTTTGACACTGCATGAGTCTGTAAAAGCCAGTGAAAAATCAAAAATTCTTTAGTGAATATACATAAAAATTGTCTCCAATCGGGCTGAGAAATCATTTTCAGAATGAGAGTGTAAAGAAGTCTTTGGGGATTGTATCCAATTTCTCAAAAAATCTGGTTTTGTGGCCGGCCGTAGATTTTGGGCCAAAACTTATGGTTATCACAGTCTTGACACAACCCACTATACAGTCCCATGCCAAAATTGTACAAAATTTCAAATTTTTCACCTTACCTCCATGACACACAAGAACCAAAGCAGACAACCCAACCAAAAAATTGTCCTGATGGAGCTTATGGCTTGTAACTACACCAGCATGGATCAAATGCATTGATGAATGATAAACTTACCGGGTATGAAAGAGAGGTCTCACCAATGAGTTGAGCTAGCTTTGTTTTTGATGACTTTGTTGATTTGCTTGGGCATAGACGCCACCAAAGATTTAAGCACTGTGTTAGGGATGGCCCATTGTTCCTTGATGATGGCTGACACCATTTCTTCATGTTATTGGGGCTTTTTCTTCTTGGAGCCTTTTTTTGAGAATCTCCCAAATATTTTCAATTGGGTTGAGATCAGGACTATTTGCTAGCCAGTTGAGCTTAATTAGAGTGTTGGCCACACCAACTGTTTGTTTTTTTACTTTGATGAACCAGAGCTTCATCCTTCATAAGGACAAGTTTGGTTGGACAATTGGGACTGCTGATTGATTTAGAAAGACACTTTCCATAGATTAATTCAACATAGTCCAATGAAAGAATACAACCAAGAGGCATCACAATATTGTCAAAACTTTGCAGTGAATGCACTCCATACCATCACTGATGTTCAACCACTTCAAAAAGTATGGACCAGGCAGTCAACAAGGTACTTTTCATAGGGCATTCTCCAGACTAAAACTTGTCTGGAGTTCTTCCCAAATTCAAAGTAGCATTTTTCTGTCCAAAATTAACCTACTCTAGTCTTCAACAGTGAAGTATTTGTACTTTTTAGAAAATTCTACACTTCTATGATTGTGCATGTCATTGAGTCTGAGAGCTGGCTTATTTACTGCTACACGTGCACACATACCCAATTTGTGATCTCCCTCTGAACAGTTTGTGAGATGACTTCAGTTGGAAGTAGCTTGGTGATTTTAGATACAGTAGTCCTTCTATTTTTCTTGAGGATTTGCTTCAGATAATATTCATCATGTTTGGTGAATTCTCTAGGTTGCCCAGCATGGTTTTCACTACTTATAGTGCCAGCATTCTTAAACTTTGAAATCACATTATGTACAGACAATGGTGGGTATCCAGGTTTGTTTACAATGTGCATGCCTTGTAGACCTCCTTTGTGTGTTCCAGTAATTCTACCCTTCCCTTTGGAATCCAAAGATTGAGTCTTCATTTTGTGTAAGACAGGTGAGGTGTGATGGTTGAGAGGAACAGTGGTCCATGAAGGACAACAGTTCTCTGAGCTCAAGTGTAAATACTCTGAAATGTATGCAGAATTTTGGCAGGGTACTGTACAGTAGTAAAGGATCCTGGGCTCTTGGATATCTTTCCTTGGTCAAGGACTTCAATTCAAAAATAATTCAAGAGCATTGTTCTAAAGCATCAGTTTCAGTATCAGTCAAAGGGACTGGTCCAGGTCAGTGACCCTCTTGGTGACAATTAGTCAGATGTTGTCTGGAAACTGAAAGAATAGCTATATTGGAGATTCAAAGACAGTTTTTAGATGTATGGCAGATGAAGGGAAACTAGGACATATATGACAAACAATGGCACACAATTTCCAGATTGGATTCAGTTGAGTAGCTAGTCACAGCAACTTCAACCAAATATGTTTCACACCATACCATTGAACAGAGATAATTAGGGTATAAACTACATAAGAAACTTGGGTCTGAGCTTGGCACACTTCATGGGTTTTCTTGTCAAGTGAAGCAATGTTGCCCAGGGTTATATATTTTCACAGAAGACGAGTGACTGTAGTTGAGCCATAGTGCAACAATAGCCTTGATGCCATCTTTTCTTCCACCTTAAAAGTCCTCCCACAAGTCCCTCAATTTCCTAAGTTGTAGTGATTTGAGCTAGGGCTATTACACTATGGTCTCTGATAGCCACCTGTCCCCAATCATTCCACTCAGAGTGTCTGCCATGTTGGCCTCCAGAACAGGATATTCATAGGATATCTGTACACCACAGTGCTAGACCCAAGATGGCTTTTCATGTAGGCTGCTGTCATTTTCATCCTCTAGACAACCAAAGGATTCAATGGAACATAAATCACAAGTAAATTATTGAACAAGACAACATAGAAATAGAGACAAAGAAATCATTGGCTTGTGATCAGGTCTAGTGTACATATCACACAAATCAAAGACATGAGCGCAGATTCTAAAGGAAAAATATATAGAGAACCTCCTTTGATAGAATTACCAAATCAACACATGCATCCTGCATGTAAATTCATGTTTTTATTCAAACAGATTCAACTACAGAGATATATAACTATTCTTGAGGAAAAAAGTGTCCTTATTCAAAAGGGGATATCATTTGTAAAAGGTCAAGAGTATGATTCAAGTTTTATGCACACTATTATATATCTTAAAGTTGTTTCTAGTCGTCTTTCTTGTCGGATACATCCATACGCTTCGGTTTATTTGAGGGTATTGACGAGTACATACGAGTTGAGATAATCACAAGGGCGGTACCTAAGAGATAGTGGCGACCAGGAATCACACCACTGAAACCTGAAGACAACAAAGCCGACACTTTGAAGGAAAATTCATGGAAAAAAACTCAGTATGATTGGGTTTGGCTGAAATGGAAGATTCTATAACTTCAGACAAAAAACTTTTCAGCTTACAGACTATTGAGAGACTATTTGCAAAGCTTTTGGTGACGGTGCTACTCTGTTTAACAATGATTGAGACCAAGATCCCACCAAGTGCATGGTACACAATCACAGACCAAACCAAAGTGCTATAACCACAAAAGAAACCTCTTTTGGTGACTTCAATGTATGCACGAGGGTCGAGATAGATTGCTAAGAATGCAAATGGGATTGTACAAAAAGAGAGCTGTAAATTTTTCGCCCATAGAGAGTTGGAAAGTGGTTGGGAAATTTGAGAGGATTTTAATTCAAGATTCTCGGGCGAAGCGGTTGGTGTGTTGGGATTGATCACTTTTGTTTCTTCTTTTTCAATGTTCGGTGTCGTTTCACGATCCTTGACGAGCTTTTCGAAATAACATCCAGCCAGGCCAGAGGATAAACACGAGCAGATGATCGCGATTAACCCTTTCAGCCAATCTTGTCCGTCATTGAGTTTATGAAGGGATGATTTCGTTGATAAGCTCGGCTGTAGTTGAACTAGCGATACGCCTAGGGTCAACAGCACCAATGATGTCCATTGTAAGTTTGTGAGGCTTTTCTTGAATATGAAAACGGAGAAGAGGGCAGTGGAAAGGATCTTGAGCTGAGAGGTTACTAGGAATGTTGGTGTGTCCAAGTTAGAGAGCGCGACATATAGAAGGTTGTTTTGAATTCTGCGAATGGACAAAGTCAATGGTCAGTCAACAATTGTGCTACTCTTCATCACATCCCAAAGTAACAACCGCGACCGTGGCCTACTTAGGCAGGCGTTACACACGTATAAAGCAGTCCAGGTACGGCCATATTGATGACGTGAGGGAATTGTTTCGGGCCGATGGCCAAAACGATGCTTGTGAATATGCATCTTAGAGAATACCGCGAATGAAAAGGTCTTGGGTTTTGCTTGCACTCCTCACTGCGGAGGGGAAGTGATGAGAGTTTGATTGTTAAGATCGCCCAGCAAATCAAAGCCTTCAAACATTCGGTTAGAAAGATTGCCGTTGCAGCGTTATATACAGGCTTGAACTTCACATCATCGTGGTTGAAGTGTTCTGGCGAGTCTGAAAGTGTTGAATCTGAGATCTTAGCCAGTCGACTGAAGCGAACCACCGAGATTGCAGTCTGATGAATGACTAAGAGTCCAAAGAAGATGTGTGCTTGATGGATTTGAATGATAGATGATAGCACAGCACTGAAACTTCGATTGAGTACTTGAGTTGAAGGTTCAAGATTGTTGAAAGACTTCATTTAAAGTGAAATTGATGAAATGGCGCATACATATAGCTTGGTGATGTTTCAGATCGATTGGGATTTCACGTCAACAATCGGATTTGGACTTTCACTTTGAATTGGCCAAACATCGGGTCGGTCATTTGCCCATCTCCCCGGAAAAGGGGTTCCTTTCACCAAAAACTACGGTCCTGCGTTCAGATCTGCATAGCCCTCACCCCTTCAGCTTGTTCAACAGTCATCCCAGCTGGCAAACTCTCATTCAACTCATGATTAAGATGGGAGGTAAATTGGTTCAAGACTGATTGTGGCATGTCATCAAGGTGAACCAATTGACTAAAGTTGAAGGTTGGAGGATAAATACCTTTGGGATGCGGTCAATCAAATGAGATACGAAAAGTTCTCTAACCATATGCTGTATAGCCTAGCATGGATGACAACAATCTCCCAAACGAATTCATCTCATTTGCTCTCCAAGTGAAGTCTCCACTTTACTTATCTCGTCCTTCACCGCCACCATCACTTCCAAAGCTCAATTTCTATTCTTGACTATCGGACTCAACTTTGTCACCACTTTCTACACCTCACGCGCAAACTAATTATATCTGACGTCCTAGTATTCTCATCTTATTCTTTCCAGAACTTTTCACTTCACCGCCTTTACCTGATTCACAAGAGTCCAAATCAGAGATATATCCCAGTATCTTGCAATCTGAACACACTTGTGGAACCTAACTTATTGGTGTTTGCTCATGCGTTACGATCTTCTTGTTGCTCACTAATAGTAATACTATAGCTGTGCCAGGCCGTGTCCTTTTCATCCAAGCACGTTATTAAAGATACCTAAAATGAGCGAACCGGAAGCAAATTTGTAAATGTTGGGTCTAAATAAGTTATTTATGGTTGGTTGAGTAATTCTCTGGTTTCGTGTAGGATTACAAAGGGCGCGTTAAGCTTAGATTTCTCCACTTTACACCTCGTCCTCCACTGCCACCATCACCTACGAAGAAGTCGAGACAACACAGCTGCTTCAATTTCAATTCTTGACTATTGGACTCGATTTCAAATTTGATCCTTGACTATTGGACTCTTCTGCACCTCACACACAAACTATTCATATCTGATGTCCTAGTTCTCATCTTATTCTTCCAAGAACTTTCCACTTCACCGCCTTTGCCTGATTCACACAAGTCAAATCAGAGATATATCACGTTAATAGTATCTCGCAATTTGAACACACTTCACAATCTTCTTGTTGCTCACTAATACTATAGCTGTGCCAGGCTGTGTCCTTTTCATCCAAAAATCTGATGACATTCAGCTCACGTTATCAAAAAAAACATAACATGAACAAACCGGAAGCAAATTATTAAGTGTTGGGTCTAAATGTTTTATTTATGGTTGGTCGAGTGGTTCTCTTCTGGTTTCGTGTAGGATTACAAAAGTTATATAAGGGACCCTTCAACATGTCCTTCATTCCCTCTCACACCAAAACTTATCAGTCTCCTCCAGACCTTACATTTTGAAATATCCCATCAAACCTGTCTCATTCCTCAAAAATTAAGAATTTGTCATGCTTTTCTTCAAATTCGTCATTGCTGCTGTTCTAGCAGGTCAGTGAATTCATAGGGACTAATCCATATCTCCATTTGTATTCAATCTTACTCAACCCTCTCTATATTCTTGCAGCCACAATCTCCGCCAGCCCTGTCCAAGTTGACGAAACGTGAGCAAGAGCCTTGACATCTTTCTCTGTGTTGCTGCAACCACTCTCAGAAAATTTATCTAACACATGACTTGCTTGATCTCAGTGTCACTGGTGAAGTCCTACAAGGACGATCTGTAGAGTTTACTCCCATCATCGAAAAGAGATCGTAAGTGAACTTTTTGAGAAACAACTCGTGTCACTCCACTCTTGTTAATTGTTTGACTGATTTATATCATACCCGTCTCTACACAAAAAAAATCTCACTAGCTCAAGCCTCAAGACTCGTTCCCCTGATGGCGTACTCTGCCCTATATGTCCTTATGGACCCTGTTGTTGATGATCTGGTAAATGCCAATGCAATCAACGTATATGGCAAGTTCAGGAGGGCTTTAGGTGGAGGTAAACGTACACCTTATTATAACAATAAAATGCAAGGATTTCTTTCCTCTAGAAGACTCTTCTACGCATTCCCCTTATCAAAGTTTGAAGCTATCTTGCTTTCTCCTTCTCTTAGCCATCATTGCATCGATTTGTTTTTTGTACGCCAGCTGATTTGTAAGCTGAGTGACTCTATGACAATATTGTCACAACTTTGGTAGTTTCTCTTTGAATATTTTAACTACTCTGATTGTTCTGAATCAATGGAAATTGTCAATGTCACATGTTTTCGTCTATGTAGTCTTCCTATGAGCAATCTTGATTTGATCAAGGTGTCAGTTCACATTTTACAACTCTGCCCAACATTCATGAGTACTACATAAGCCTATTTGGCATTTACCTTTTGAGAATGATCAAGACATTCAAGACAGAACTTAAAAAAAGCCATTGCATTTCAAACATTTCATATTTTTGAAACACCAACCGGATTAGGGCAGTTTAAGTTTGAATTTCAAGGCTAAGCACATCCATTAACCATCTGGCTGTCTTATAGCCAAGAAACTGTCTGGGCAGGGTGACACATGGTGGGCCATGTATCAAATGCTTGAGAAGATGTGGATCTGATGACTCTTGTGATTAAGACTGTCTTTTAAAAGTGAATTGAGATCAAACACAACCAATGTATATCCCAGAGGGTCATCTTCCTAGAGTCATTGATTGTAAAAAGAGATGGATAATTGTTTAATGATCTATGTGACACGATCAGAAGAGAGATGTGATATGAACAAATTCGATGAGATAGATGAGATCGTTTCATGTAAGCGCTTAATGAGTTCAGGCCGATACAATAAATGGGTTCTGAAGCACTTCTGATATTAATATTGCGCACATGGGACCATGGAAGTCAAATGTCAATGGGTAGGGCTGACGAGTGAGTTTTATGAATGGTCTCATTAGATCCGTACTCACGTGAGTCCTATAGTAAAAGCTATACAATGATCAAGAACTAGAAAAAAGTTTTGATGCTGCCCGTATCTTCAACATGTTTCGCTTTGTGGCTGATTTGGGGGGTGTAGAAGCTGCGGGTGTTGATCGAATGCGCAATTAAGAGGTCGAGATTTACGGTGAAAGCGAAGCAAAGTCAGCTATATGTTGATCAAGAATCACAGCCATCGGATCAGGTCGAGTAATCACCCTTTGAATGCATTGGAAGGTGGTCGGTTTCATTGCCTGAATAAGTTCGTTCAAACCCAAGGCCACTGTACTGTTGGGAGTGCGAATGACTGTCCATCAGCCTGGCAGTCGGAGGTTCGCATGGATTAGGGTAGTTGGAGTGTCCAGATAAGACATCGCTATTCCAGCCAGAGTCCGCGCGGTAGTTTGAAAAGCAGCTTCCTATGGTCCCATTAGCAACTGGAATCGGAGGTTCGGCCTCAAGGCTATCTTCCTGCATAGGACAGCAGCCTGAACCTGAAACAATGGGATTCGTCGGTGGAGTACTGTGTTCAGGTGCTGCGAAAACCGCAGGAGATGAACAGAGCGGGCTGCTAAATGTGCTACCCGCGTAAGCTTCTTCCGTCTGGATATGTATAAAGATTTGATTAATTTTTCATTCATCATCGATTTCACAAATGTAGATTGAAGGAAGAACTTTTCAGGCTCACATGATGCCTAGCCAAGAGATCGTTATGGATCCAACCAATCTTGTGAAACGCCCGAACCGCCCGAGTCTTTTTCTGCAGCGGCCATGTGGATTCGGGTAAGGTAAGGATCGCAGCAGTCATTCGATCGGTGATGTACCCCAAGGTCTGACATTGCGCAAAGAAGATGCGCGATTAGTTGAGGGTGATGTGGGACAACGTCTGAAGGGGCTTACCATAGCTAAATGTATATCTTTATTCGCCAACTCTGCAAGGGTTCAGAAGACTAACCAAGTTTAGGATATGACAGGAACAATGGCTCACAGTCTACGAATAGAGGCTTCTTCTTGCCGGCGCTAAAAACCCTTGCACCACCAACATGCTGAATACCAATACGGTTGAAGAACTCGAATATCTTTGATTCCGACGAGACAATGTCAGCCAAGTACTTTTCTTTGTGAGACAGACGTGATATGTACTACAGGAGCGAATAATCCCACTGCGGTAGATATAGGTCAAATGTAGCTCACCTCCATCTCATTGTAATCAGAAGTGAAGATCTACAGCGTGATTGGAGAGACATAAAAATATTGTCAATGATACGCATCTCTGAGTTGTTGGTAATGAGGCGTAAAGGGTACGTGGAGCACCTTCATTGCCCATTTTTCCAGAATGTTTCGCCTATGACCACAAAAAATGAGCATGATGGAGCCAGTTGGGAGCCATCAATTGCGTATGATTCCGCATGCTAATAAAGAAACTCACCTGATTCGGATGGTGGCCGAATCAATCGTGATTGCATTGGCGTCTCCTACCAGATCATCGAGGGTTCCATGCGTACCTTGAGCACCGTCTTTGCGAGGGAAAAACGCAATCTTGCAGCACTCATAAGAGAGAAGCTTGTTATCTGGGCCCAAAACAACACATAACGTAGATTGTGAGACTATGCGCGTCCAATTCTTGCTTATGAAAAATTCAAAACTGACAAGCTGATGCAACGATTTCTGGAACCAACGGCTTCGCAATTGGTCTGACAGCCTTCATGATTTCACAGTCCTCTGTCACACCAAAAGAAAATCGAGTTCAGAAATCAAAATTATGCGAGTCAGATAGTACCAGAATCAAGCGGCTGACCATCGGTGAACTCTAGAAAGGATTTCATGTAAGTCACCCGGGCTTCCAAATCGCCATTGAGTTCCGCTCTGGTCACAGTGTGTGGATCCATATGGCTGCTTTTGCTGAAAGTGGATGGTTAATCGTCCAGAGGTTCTTACGCTCACAATGTAACGATCTTCACGATGATCAGATAAAAGTATCTCGACAGGCGGGTTTTGAGGTTTGTTATAGGCCTAGATAGCTCTTCGGCTTCGAAATCGATATAAGCAAACAAACAGGGGGCGTGATTCGATTGTGATGGTCAAGAGATGCAGACCAAATTGAGGGGCAAGTTTATTGACCTCCCTACGGCACTAGGTTTGAAGTGCAAGTTGTTGTAATCAAGTTAAACCAATAGTTCAGAAGTTTGTCGTGTCACATGCAAGGAAGACTACGCCGAATTGAGATGAATCGAGGCAAATAGAGGCATACCAAAAAGCTCCAAAAGGTCTATTGTTTAAAATGGTTTGAATTTCATATCATGGGACAAGGAGAAGTGATGAAACTAATTTAATCTTGGTCTTTGTTGTGGCTGATGAGCACTAGCACTGGATGTTGAGAGATAATTCAGGCAAAGATGACCAGCCGGCAACACTGCCCTGGATTACTAAAACTCAACACTCAATCGGCATCATCGCGAAGTAAAAAAAAGCTACGTGGCGGAGAAGAAACCACTCACACCTACTCACACCCACTGATGCTCACACCATATCACTCTAGTTCACTCTGAGATATACGTATATCAAACAGATTGCGACAGAGCGTCTCATGATAAAGTATGACGTGTTTGGAAACACTCATCTGGGCTCAAAAAGCGTTGAAATGGCGTTTCCAGCTAAAGAACTGATTGCGGATGCGTTCAAACAGTGCCAAAAGGTGTCAAACTCTGGAACCGATCTGTGCATCCTTCTAGACCATGGCACTATGCTCGGTCGCTCCCATGAGCTGGATTTGTTTCGTCCTGCTTGCCTCACACAGACTAACGGCTCACAGCTCGATCCTTGGCCATGATGTTGGAGCAATCGCACCGTTTACTCTTGGTCATCCAGTGATCATCCAGTTGATCAAGATATCTGTCTCTCGAAGTCTACGTCTCCCGAAGCTGAATCATGAATAGAGCGCTTGAACAACTGTCCTGCAAATTATCATCTGTGAAACAGAGAGACCTTTGGAGGACCGAAGTGGCTGAAGAGTTCAACGTTTTGCCTACTGAAGAGCCGTAAGGTTGTCGTCAAGCTGAATTTGGAAGAAGTATTCTCCTCATAGATGATAAACAAAGCGGGCCACTCCGACGCCTTGCTTGAAAGCAACGGAAAGATGAATGCCCTACTGCTTGAGGCTAGAGAGGTTTAGAAAATATCACATTATAGCCATCCTTTGGAATCGCAGCTCTTCTTTTCTTCACAATTTGCTCGAATACTTATAACTTGACCTCCCCTGCTTAAAAGGCTTCTTCGGTGAACTAGATCGTTAATAAATTAAGACACTTCTAGGAAGAAATGTCGGAAAATATGAATGAAGCAGTTCCAGTGAAGTTCGGGCTCTGTCACTGATAGGACAAAATCCCCCTTTCGAGCCATAGAATCCCGTCTTGCGTCACTGCTCGTTTTTTTCGTCCAACACTTGCTCAAGAATTTGGACTCCCCTCCCGATACGATACGAGAGGAGGATCTCGTGAGATACACAATCCAGAGTAACTTGTCCCAAATTCCTCACCGATTTGCTCGAGTTGGCACTGTTTTGTGTCCAACATTGCTCGAAGTCTTCCGAGTTGACTGTAACGATTTCCTCGGCAACTGATCAGCATCTCGTCCAAACGCGTTTCACAAACTTTTCTCCCAAGCATTACCATTCTGCTTCGGCGAGTCAAAGCCCAACCAATCAAAGACGATGATCCGATATGACGTCGAGTTATGAGACAAGATATTCCTCTCACTTGAAGTCACTTCCAACATCACCGGCGAAACCTGACAGAGCAACCCGCAAAAAATCAACGTCGAGGTGACTCGCACCGTGATTCATCCACTCTGTGGAACGTCATGCTAAACCTGACACATGATGTTTTGATGCTCACCATGAACTACGCACACTATAAGATTCAAGAAGAGAGCAGACCAGGACCTCTTTACGGCATATCATCTGCATATCCATATCATTATCCTTTCACATCAAGTTTGATACGTATTGTTAAAATTTATCTAAAATAAATATTCATATCGGCTTCCAGTACAGCTATTAAACAAGAAATCGAAAAATTAAACCTCGCTGATCACGGTTTCAAACGGAAACCTTTCACCTTACAGACCTCCCACTATGAAACTCAATTTTCTCGGTCTTTTCTCCCTCATCCTCATGTTTGATCTCAGTCAACAGAGGGCAAAAGATCAGATACAGTGCTACGATGGGCCAGATCCACCCCCGGACCCGGATTGCGCTGGGTAAGTCACTATCTAATAAGGAGGTAAACTATTATACCTTACTAAGCTGGATTGTACAAGACTCGCAGTCTTACATTTATCATCTTTTGCTGATATATATATCAATTGCACATCTAAACAATTGGATTTATAGGATATATGATCAGATGGTCATCTACGACATCTTCAAAGAGACAGGCCATCTCGACCACGATGAAATAACATACACCCGAACAAAAGGACAATGTACGGTAAGCAACCTTTTGAGATATCTAAGTACAGATTACAAAATATAGTATCTTACACTACCAATTCTCGGAAACATGCGATTCAGTTCATAATAGAGACAAAAAATACGGAGAGAATCAGCCTGTAAGTGGAAATATGGATCCAAACTTGGCTCATACCAATATACAGACAACTTAAGAAACTGATGTGATTGATTTATGTGGCCGTTGCTCAAAAAAGTCACTACTCAGATATCTTGAATGTATTTGACTGGTCAAAAGGAACCTGTGCAGGAAAAGTAAGCTTATTCTAGTATCAGTTGCACTTGCAGGTCATACATCTTACATTTTGTTTTGCTTCATCTTAGTACGGTTCTGTGCAATTGGTTCGACGTACTGCCTGCCCCCATTGCGGTGGGGACGAAACAATGTATTTCCGGTTTGAAAAGGCTATCAATCCACCCCCACCACCTGCATACGCACCTTTACCGCTCCCTAATCCACCGCCTGTACCCGTTTATGATGATTTATGAACAGCATTATTTGACTTTTCTTCCCTTTAAACCCTTTTATGGACACGGATACATCACTTTTCATTACCTGCTTCTTGGGCCTCTTGTATATAATTTCCTCACAAAGAGGACACTTTTTATTGAAAAACTTGATCAGTGATTAAAAGGAACACATCATAAATAAACTTCATATGAGCAACATGATCAACGTTCTTTCAGAAGAAATATCTCAAGCACATAAATTATTCAACCCCGAGAGATCTCTTCCAAAAGCTAAATCAGATACACTCCAATCCAACATATGCAAAATTCTTCAAATCAGATGATGGGTTTTTTTTGAGTAACAATATCACTTGCTATCAATCTTGATAGTGTCAGATTTGTAGGCCTTCCACCAGATTTGGTAATCAATATTTTCAACTCTCCCAATCTGAGCACACTACAAATATTGACACACATCATTCCATTGATTAAATTGGTACACTTTATGATGTTAAAGTAGCTCAATGTGCAAGTGGAATCTAAATGCTAATTGTAATATCATTTCAGATGATGTGTTTGACAACAATGATTGGGATGTAGAGGAATGCGGGGAACTTCCTGATGACCTTGTTTGATTTCTATCACCACTTTTCTTTTTCTTGCTTTTGCCAACACGTGGGAGGCATACCTTGACCATAAACTTGCCTTTGAAAGATACAAAGACCCTTCCCATCACATGATATGATATTGTATAAGACATCTGACCCATTCAAATGTTAATAGACAGGTCAAATGACTGCTATCAGCTACCAAGAACATCATAGCACTTTGACTCGGGGGCGCTAAGGCAAACAACTAGAGATAAAAGTATGCTTTGTGGCGCAAGGTTATCCGCGTGTTTCTTTGTTGGCATGTTCACATTTTGATAGATATCTTGCCAATGACTTCCAAATGGTCATGAAATCAAATCATTACCTAGGTATTTGCTTCCCCATCAACACGTCTTTGTAACACATAGGGTATGTACAAGTTTCTTCTAGTTTACGAATGAACGGCAAAAAAATTCATCTGCTGAACTCAAAGGTGAAAGATGAGTTTACAAACCATTGAATCCATTTCTACATCATCTTAGCTCTGCATGATTCATCTCTTGCTTCACTGATGTGAGATACACAATATGTCCGTTCACTCGGATTCTTTTCACATTGCCTGAGTTCACGAAGATCATATGTATTCTTTGAATAGCTTCTATGATGCTAAAAGTCTCATTGTCAAGACCAAATTAATTACCTTAAACTCATGAGTTTCATTTTGAGGCTTGTTCCATTAAGATAGTTTCCATGTCCTAAGCAAGGTCAGTATATAAGACCTTCAAAGGGTCAACGTTTCAAAGAAAATCGTTTTTGTAGTTCAGCTTAATAAGTTACAATCTAGTTGATCACAACTTCAGGTTATTTCATATCATCTGTTTAACCTGTCTAAGATGTTTACTAAGTAAAATCAATGCATTAGGATCGATTCCCTCTAACCTCTTAGCAGCTCCCAAAGTCTCTGGTCTAGCACTATCAAGCCTATGTCGAGCTTCAATACTAAGGTATTCAAGTGTATGATAATCCAAGTTGGGTGGTAAACGACATAATTCATCGGCTTCCAATTGACGCGCGTTATGCTCATAACGATTTGCGATTGGACGATAAAGAGCTGTTTGGATATCAATGTAGTGGTAAGAAGCTTTGAACAAACGATCAGATCATGAAAAATCTAACTGACCTTCAACTTCAATTCTACGCCAGATATCCGGATCAACGTTTTTGAGCTGTGGTACAGTCTCGCAGAGTTGTTCAATCTTCACACCCTGTACTCGTAACACATCAAACGCACTATCAAGAAATCAATCCATTCAGTCAGTCAATAGCACATCAAAGAAAGGACAGGATGTTATTCTTAAAGAATCACCTTTTCAAACTAGCATCCTCTCTAACTTTAATTCCCACTTGACTCCAAGCCCTTTGTGACAAACAAACAGCCTGAAGAGCCTCAATTGATCGATCAATTTGAGTTTTTGTACGTTCAACCGTAGCCCATCGATCCTCATCAATTACTCCTACTTGTCTAGCTTTCTTGGTTAATCGTAGATCAGCATTATCAGCTCTTAAAGAAACTCTAAATTCACTCCGACTTGTGAACATCCGATCTGATGCGCAAAAATGTACCCAAAGGTCAATTCTACAGGATTTTGGTGATTCCGAAAAGCCTCTTGATGAGACTCACATGGCTCTTGAACACCCTTTGTAATGAGGTCATCCACCAACACGCCGATGAAAGAATCCGCTCGAGTCAAGATCAAAGGCAACGCATTCTGGGACGAGAGACCAGCATTGATACCAGCCAGGACTCCCTGTGCGCCCGCTTCCTCGTAACCAGTAGTACCATTGATCTGTGTAAACCAAGAGTTCATCCGATCCGATGAGTAAGCTGTAAACCCAAAATGATCTCAATACTTTGAAACACTCACCTGGCCAGCCAAGAATAAGCCCTTGATTCGTTTGGTTTCGAGCGTATCTGAGTTAGAAAGTGGTTATTCAGGCGATGTTAGGGAACTTCAGAACCAACATGATCCACTCACTTGTCAACTCTTTTGGGTCCACATGATCATACTCCACGCCATAGCCTGGCTGATGAATTTCCACAGCTTCTAGACCTTGAATTGACCTTAACATCTGTAATTGAGCATCAGGTGGGATAGTGGTAGATAGTCCATTAGGATAAATCAAATCCGATTCGTAGCCTTCAGGTTCAAGCCAAATCATGTGAGAATCTCGATCTGGAAACTTGACGACTTTTGACTCCAATGAAGGACAGTATCTTGGACCTAGTCTGACACCAAATCCCATACTACATCAACGATCAACTGGTAAAGAGATATATATATATATCAAGATAGACTGACCTCGGACTTCTTCACGAATATGAACTGTCTTGTCTAAATTCTTTCTAACAATATCATGAGTTTGTGCATTAGTATGAGTTTTCCAACAACACAATTGATTGGTTGCATTTTGAACTGTCTGATTCATAAATGAGAATGGAGTAGGTGGTTGATCTCCATTTTGAATAAACAAATTTGAAAAATTAATGGTATTTTTTAATAAACGTGGAGGAGTACCTGTCTTGAGACGTTCTAATTTAAATCCAACATTTTTTAATGAATTTGAAAGTGATGTACTAGAACTTTCACCAATCCTACCAAATGGTGATGATTTCATTCCGATATGAATTTCTCCTCCAAGAAATGTACCAGTAGCAATCACCAGGGATTTACATTTGATAATCTCTCCTGTATCTAATTTCAATCCGGAAACTCTAGCTTGATGACCTGAGGATCGATGTAGAAGATTGTCATGTTCGAGGATTAAATCGGTAACAGTACCCTCTTTGATAGCCAATTGATTAAACTTTTGAAGTTGATTTTGAACCGATTGTTTATATAATTGACGATCCATCTGTGCTCGAGGTCCATAGACAGCAGGCCCTTTAGATCGATTTAGCATTTGAAAAACGATTCCAGCTTCATCTGGAGATAAATGTATTGGAAGTCAACATCAGAAACGGGTCATAGATGACCAAGAAAGAAGTCATCGAGAACTAACCACAGGCTTTTCCACAAATACCACCCAAAGCATCAATTTCACGAACTAATGTACCCTTCCCAATCCCACCAAAGCTCTACTACAGCCGAAAAAAAAATCATTCGTGAGATCAATCAAATCCATTCAACTGATTGTCATCAAGGAAAGTAATGAGGGAGAGCATACCGGATTGCAACTCATTTCTCCTACTGTCTTCCAACTATTGGTAACAAGCAGTGTAGATGCATTACAACGAGCAGCGCCAGAAGCAGCTTCGGTGCCGGCATGACCACCTCCCAATACAATCACATCATATTCATTTCGTGGTTGATCATTGGTGGTAGTACTCGCATTCCTTCTTGAGCGTGCGACCGAGCTAAAGATTTTATGGGTGGTAGTCGTAAAAAATCGATTGAGAGTCTGAGGACGCATATCGAAAACTTTCGGTTTTCAAAAAATGCCCAACGCTGGTATTGTAAAAGTTACAATATACATGGCTTGGTACCGAGTGAGATCCGGACCGATACCGACGAGTATCATAATACAACCTGAAGTGAAATGATTCAATTATTCTTGGGATGGCGTGATTCAGAATGGATGATGGATAATGCAAAAGACTCATGAAAACCAAAGACTGATGAATCAAAATAGTAAAGTGATGGTTGAAGTTAAATGAGAAGTGAAGTCTCATCCGGATCTACCGCTATTTCGAAAGTGTTCATGGAATGGGCTGATGATCCGCGGCCCGAGGGTTGAATGGCATCGCTCGCCTTAAAGCCAGCTTCAGCCGAGAAGTCTCAGCGGGAATCTGCATTCTCGTTCTACCCCTTCAGCCCCTGATGCCAACGCTTGAGCAACTTTGAGCCTGCAGGAGCTCCATTTCTAATCCCAATCGGGATAAATAACCTAGACGGGCAAAATACCGATTAACCGCGAATATGAAATAAATAATCAAAAACAACAGGAGGATCATTTATTTTCGACGACACAGCCGAAGTAAACAAGGCCATTGCTCTTATCCAACAATACTTTTTTGATAAAAGAAACCAAGGTTAAGCTCAGCATTCCAAAAGAATGAGACCAAATCATGATTACGAATACCAAGCGTTGATTGGAAATCAGAAATCGGCGATCAATCGATCATCCTTCAATCGAAAGCGTTGGATCATCATCATCTTCATTATCTTCATCATCACTACTTCAATTGCTTATCAATTCGTCATATCTCAACATTATAATCCAGGTGAGTGATATGTTTCATACCTGGCGTAGATCGATCAAGCGTTGACGATTGTCCTTTGCTTATCTTATCTGAACTATTCATAGAAACACACTCTTCCTTTAAGAAACAACACGAGCGTAATCCTTCGTACTTAGTCACTGGTTGGAATGGTGCTGTAGCAAGTGAAGAAGCCAGATGCTCTCAGATCGGTCTAGATGGTTCGCACATTTTCTCCCTCGCAAACCCTTTGCTGTTAGTTCAATTAGAAGGAAATCTAATGAAATTCTTTCGGGTCCCAACAGTTCTTAAAGAAAACGGTACAGCCACAGATGCAGCTATAGCTACGGCACTCTGTGTAGGCGTAGTCAACTGTTTTTCAACAGGAATAGGTGGTGGAGGTTTTATGGTGATCAAACCAGCACCTTGTAGATCACGTCAAGATTGTGTATCAGAAACACCCATCAGTCTAGACTTTAGAGAATCGATTCCAGGTGGAGATCTTTATTCAGAAAAGTTTTTAAATGATCCAAAGAGTAGTCAAGTCGGTGGTTTAGCCATTGGAATCCCAGGTGAACTTTCGGGGTTTGATTTAGCTTTTCGTAAGTATGGTGGTGGTGTAAGTTGGTCTAGGATCTTTGAACCTTCAATCAATTTATCAAAAGAATTTCAAGTGGGTCATGCATTGAATCAAAAACTTTATAATGATGGTGGTAACGATCACTCTCAATGGATTAAATCGAAACCCGAGTGGAGAGACGTCTTCTTCCCTAATGGACGAGACATTTCGCATGTTGGCGATCTAATCAAACGAGAAAATTATTCCAATACACTCAAGATTATAGCAAATCAAGGTATTAAACCTTTCTATGAAGGTGATATAGCTAAGCAATTGGTTGATGTTATCAATCGAGAAGGAGGCCAAGTTGAAATGGAAGACTTTGCGAATTATCAAGCGATAGTCAGACCAGCCCTTAATACCACTTACCTAAATCGAACAATCTGGACTACTGAGAATCCATCATCGGGTCCAATGATGATTTACCTTTTGAACATCTTAGAAGGATTTCAACTGAATCGAGTCCCAAGAACAGAACTAGAAGAACATCGATTTATAGAATCATTAAAATACGCATTTGCTCGTCGTACCGAATTAGGCGATCCAGCTTTCCTTAATACAACGCAACAAGATCGAATTAAATCTTTCATCCCCAAGACTTTTGCCGATGAGACTCGTTCCAAAATTGATAACAAGACATATGATTACAAACACTACGATCCACGTTATGACACTGTTGAAAGTCATGGTACAACTCATATTAGTGTTTTGGACCAATGGGGTTCAGCTGTTAGTCTGACTTCGACCGTTAATCTGATCTTTGGAAGTCGAGTGATGGATCCGATCACAGGGATCATTTTGAATGATGAAAACGACGATTTTAGTGTGAAAGGGAAATCGAATTCATTTGATTTATTCTCTTCCCCACTCAATTATCCACAAAAAGGTAAACGACCCGTTAGCTCGATGGCACCTATCATTGTTGAAGACCAAGAAGAAGTCTGGGCAGTATTGGGGGCGAGTGGTGGAAGTAGAATTCCTAGTGCGGTAGCAAGTACATTGTTGAAGCTTGATTGGGGATATGACTTATCACATGCTATTGAAGATGCACGAGTACATCATCAACTGCTTCCAAACCAAGTACGTTGTGAGACTATGCATCGGAAACCTTTGATTTGCTGATGGTTGAACAAATCTGTGATGATTAGGCAAGGATCGAGACGAGTTATCCTCCCGAATTCTTAGAGTCTTTAAAGGCCAGAGGCCACAAGATCTCAATGGTAGACGTCTATAGTGGTCTTGCGTGAGTCTTAAATCCATCATTTATCTGCTTGACTTGTGACCGGAGATTCTGACTACTCAATCTACATTATTTAATCTACATGCGATTCTATCATAGCGCCGTACAGGGTGTAGTGAGGAGATCTGATGGACTCATATTTGCATCAAGTGATAGCAGGAAACATGGCGTACCAGCAGCTTATTGATAATTTCTTTGATATATATACTTTTTATTATTTCATCATTTGAATTGGGTATTGTATTATACAATAGGTATATGAACTTTATCACATTGGAAATCTAACTGTTCAGCAATTACATTAAGCAATAGCATAAAACACGGCGTACCTGCAACTTATCAACGGGTTTCTTTTCTCTGATGTGTATATTTCATGACTTCTAAACTTAGATTGGGTCTTGCACTATTATACAATATTTATAGGAACTTTGCAATATTTGTATGTCTATCTATCCAGCATGTTATATTTTGATTCCTTGCAAGACTGACATCAATTGGAAAGTAGTTCAATGCTTGCTTGTATTCTTTGTAGAGGCTAGAGCAGACAGTTTGTTCATTGTGACAGTTTGCTGCTGATGGAGTTTTTGAAAATCTTTGGGCTTGATGACTTACATAGAGGTCTTGAAAAATATGTTCAGGTAATAAGGTAAGATTGCTTGAAATTGTAGGAACCAATATAAATAATGTAGATTACCCATAGGATCGATCATTTCTGAAAATTCACAATGTTTGAGCATTAACGAAATTTTGCAAGAAGTGAAACTCTTGATGTTTGAGAAGAGTGGCAAAATCCCTTATATGTATCTCACCTCATTACAATTAGTCATGATTCATAAGCTTGATAAAATATTACTATTAATTGGCTTGGAGTGGATTGTTATGAATGCATTCTAATAAACAAAGACTTTGATTGAAGTTGAACTATGAACAAATACCAAACTATATATATCTATAAACAAATCCAAAAAAATAACCATCTATCACATCCAACAATGCTAATTTTAGTTAATATAAATCCAAACAAAGAACCCAAAAAAGTAAAAAAAAATCAAAAGTATTCCATTGGATCAAAATCTTCATCAACATCTAAATCGAATTCTAACCCCAATAAATATTCATCATTCCAAAACTTTGATAAATGTCTTTGACCCGAATCACACAGAATACAAACGATCCTCAAAGGGGTTTCAAATTCTAAAGATTTAATGAGTTTTACACAACCTACTAGATTCACAGCTGAAGAAGAACCTAGAAAGAGTCCTTCTTGATTAACCAAATATCTAGACATCTTAATGGCTTCTTGATCTGTTACCCTACATTTGATTTTCACTGATTTAAGTCGTTATAAAGTAAATGGATGGTTATGATCAGATTGACTTACCTGATTGCATCATCTATTAAATCTAGTCCTTCTTCAAAGTTTTTAGTTGACCGATTCAGTCCGATCCCTTCAACAATCTATCCAAAAGAAACCCACATTCAATAACAATTTTCTAAAAGTAAAAATTTGTTGGTTTTTCTTGAAACTCAACTGTATCCATTTGATGTCTTCTACGTTTTCCTTCAGCTTCAGTATCACAATACATAACCCCATCTTTAACCTAAACCAAAAAGAAACATAAGAAACATAAGAAAATCGAAATCAACTTATATTTCAAAAAAAAAATCAAGTAAGAAAGAAAAGAAACACCAAACTTTATGAAATAAACCTGAACCAGGTGGATCAGCCAAGATCAATTTAATCTTTGAATCATTTTCTTTTAATCGTTTACCTATACCTGTTAATGTACCACCTGTACCTGAACCTGATACAAAATAATCAAGTTGACCTTCAGTTTGTTCCCAAATTTCTAAACCTGTACTCCTATTACAAAAAAAGAAAAAAAGAAAAAAAGAAAAAAGAAAAAAAGAAAAAAGAATGAGGACTTGGATAGATTGATTTGATGATTATAAAAAACAAAAGAAACTTAACTCATAATGTGTTTGAGAATTAATCAAATTATCAAATTGGTTCACAAAAAATCCTCTTTCTACTCCTACTCCATTCCAAATCGGTTTATAATCTAATGCACGTTGTTTGGCTATATTAACATAATGTGATGAGTTAACAATACTAACGGGTCTAACTAGGAAACCCAAAAGAAGAAAAAAAAACCAAAAAAGGATCAGTGAAAAGAGTTTTATGTAATTGATTAGAAAATGATGGGGTTTTACCTTTGATCACTTTAGCTCCCATTTTTTCTATTAATTCTGACTTTTCTCGTGCTGTATCATCAGGTAAAACGATTTCTATTTCTCAAAGCAGTTCAATTAAGTATCTAATATTAATCACTCTATTGATCAGAAAGGCGGAAGATAGAATTGGAGATGAACCTGCTTCGTAACCTAAAGCTCTAGCTACCAGTGAAATTGAGATTCCAGTACTACCACTTGTACCTTCAAAGAGTTTCCATTTAGGTTTCGAATTTGGGAAAATTTCCCCTTTTCTTTCTGCTTCTTGAATGACTTTTTCAAAAAAAAACATTATATCAAGATCAAGTTTGTTAATTGTTTTTTTCGGTTGGAATACATATGTATTTGAATTTGAGATAAGTTTTTGGTGAAGATTTGACTGACTTACTTCTTAGAGCTATCCGATCTTTAACCGAACCACCTGGGTTCAAGAACTACCGAATCATCGAATTGAAAGAAGTATAAGACGGTCTATCGTAGCTTTTAATAACCGAGAATGATGGATTCATATACCTCGCATTTACCCAAGATCTCACACCCCGTGATCTTACTGAGAGAATTAATCCTGATCAAAGGAGTTTGGCCTGCAAAAGATCTCATCCATGCAAGTATAAGCCTTGATAATCCAAACCAGATCTTCTCAAACACTCAAAAAAACTCACCAATAAGTTGAGTAAGATCATCTGAAGTCTTGATGGTTCCTTTCTTTCTTTGTTTCGGGTTGAACTTGAACCATTGAGAATGGATTCCAAAGGAGATCATCGAAGCTAATGAAGCTCCGAAAGCTACCCAAAGAGCTGGGCTAGCTGTTTTACCATCAGGAAACCAATTGGACATCTGATGAGGATTGGTATCTTTCTTTTTTGATGTTGATCAGTGTTTGAAAACCATATGGAAAGTAGTATTAAGATGACATTTTGTATGTGAAGTAGAAATTGAAAAAAAGAGAGTGAACAAGGAACGGATAAACTCAAACTGTGGTTTACAGTGTGATGTTTTCCAAAATGCAGTCTGTACAAATACATTATTCTCAGTTATAAGTCAGTTTTCGATGAACAGCTTAATCGATCAAGTGATCAAAATGATTTATTCACTTTATATCTTCGATCGACATTGTACAATCGGTTAGTTCTTTCCTTCATATCAACTAATCTCAATCAATCAAACAAACTAATCAACTCTATCTTATCAAAAAACAGTTTATTATCAAGACTGGCATAGATCACCACTCAAGCCAGCCAGACCAAGTCCCAACGTCTTACCATGTGTTTCACCCAGTCTTTCACCAGGTTATCAATCCATCAATCCTCATTCAGATCAATCACGTCAAGCTAGTTCACAAGGAATCCTTCCTTTTCATTCTAATACCGGTACACTTGTTGGTGGAGAAGAAGTTCCAAACTTATTGAATACGACTAGATTGAATGATGGAAATGGAATTAGATCTGATTTGCTTCATTCTCAAAATCAACTTCAAAATGGATCTTCAAGTAATCTTTTACCTGGTTTGTTATTTGATGAAGAAGCTAAATTGGTTTATGGTCTTGTCTTTAGTTTACGTAACTTGGTTCGAAAATTAGCTGGCAGGTAAGAAGAAAAACCTTTCTTATCTTTCTAAAACCTTTCATCATTGTGATTATTATCAAACTAAAGATTATGTGATTTTGTTTTTTTTATATTAGGGATGAACCTGTTCATTATTATACTACTTCTACTTACTCTTTACATCTTTTTACCACACCTACCAATATCACCTTTGTATTACTAAGTTCACCCATGACCGAAAGTTTACAACCCGTCTTAAAGAATATATGGAAAACATCTTGGACAGATTTTGTAGTACGTTTTTTTCCACGTGATATACGATTTTTTTTGACTTGGTTTAAATTAAGTTTAAGATGATGATGATTTGTTCGTTTGGTCTAGATTCGGAATCCATTGGTATCAATCGATAGTGCTCAATCTGGTAAAGGTGTAGATAATGAAATGTTTAGAAGATCGGTAGATAATACTATGAGAGCTTTAACTATTTTCAATTGAAAGGATTAGGATGGATCAAGCTGAATCAAGTCAAGTTGAATGGCAAATTTAAGTTGTTCATCTGCTCGTCTCGTTCTAACTCATTAGCCAATACATGAGGTGCTAGTTGTAAATTTACTTAATCATCGTATACATATTACAAGACAACGTTTCTGTTTACGAAGTTTTCACTACATTTTGGTGATTATCTAAGACTGGATACACTGCAGTACTCACCGCACACATAAGTATACGATCAATAAAACAACTTTTCGTGGCAAGGATGGAGAAGCCCAATTCTGAAAGTTCTGACTGGAAAAATAAAGCTCGGCAAAGGTACATGAAATCATTGAAAACAAAAATTAAGTAATAATATGACGAACTAATTGTTCGACCGAAACTTCACTTTCTTCAATCTCTAACCGAAGAGCTCTAATAATCTTAACAGCTAACAAATGAGAACACTGCATACCCCCCCAAAAAAATATCAAAGTCAGTCAAAACGGAATGAAAAAGAAGATTGATTGAGAGAAGTGATGACTCAAGACAGTTATTTGAGTAGATGAAAGAATAACGTGTTTTAAGAAAGATGAACATTGACAAGTGGACCGTTGAGTGATACAAACTAAATATGATTTCGTGTTGCCTATAACCTTTTTTCAAAAAGAAGTGGTAATGGTTAAAGACCAAGATGATAAGATAGTTCTAAAAGATGAACGGTTTACTTGATAAAGCGTATCACTCATAGGTGATCTCAGTCTCGAAACTACAAGACCATATCAATCCATCAATCAATCATCGGAAGCTTGATGACTTGAAAAGAAAGACCATCTTGTTTGACAATTCCTTAAAAACTCACCAGATCTTTTATCTATTAATTCCATACTGGCTATCAAAAGTTCAGGACCACAAATCAAATTGAGTGATCGAATCTGATCATCTGTTAATGGTAGAGATCCTAAACTAGATAATTGTATATCTAAGACTTCTCTCAAATTATTCATGATGAAGAATATGTAGCGAGATATGTTGAGATAGGTATAGCCAGGGTGAGGTTGATAAGAAGTTGAAGTGTTGGTTAATCGAACTTGAATTCAAGTGGATCAGGAGAAACCAAGATTGGGTTACTTGAACTGAATAACTTCAAATATTCCATTCTCACAATTTGGGTCAAACACACTCGGATTCATAGTATAACCCAATGGATCCTCAGAATCTTGGATCAAGAAGCTCGCGTGTATAAAACCATTCCAAAATCTGTTCTATATAAACAACAAGACTTCGCAGACTCGCATTTCTGAGTTTGAGAAAAGTTGACTTTCCCTGATAAAAATGCACCAAACTGTTTTACTCTACAAATATTCACACAATCACATTAAAAGTGTATCAAGCTCAGAAGTAGATAAGTTATACTACTCATCAACCAAAGAACATCAATGATAGGTAAATAAACATTGAAACCATCCTAATATGACGCGTCCATATTATTTGAAGCCAGTTCAAACGAGTCAAGAGACTTCCAACGAGTTCAAGGAAACCGAGTTAATTATGTTTAAAGTAAATTAAAAGAATCCTACAAGTACACTTTTGAAAAATATGCAACAAAACAAAAATAAAAATCGAACTCCAAATGATCATTTCCTTTGACGAGCAATAAAATAACCTTCTCTACTTTCAGATCTACTAGCCAAAGGTTTAATCCATCTCACCGATTTCCAATTCGATTTCAAATGATTTCTCAATTCGTCTGTTAAACCCGATTGAATATGTTTAATAACCAACGTATCATCTTCGTGTCCTTCAATTTGAGTTTCTTGTAAAACGGTTTGAGCAAGTTGTGAAACTGATAAACAAAGATCAAGTGAGTTTTGTGCATCTTTGATGGGTATCCCACTCATTGAACCAAGTAAATCAGATAAGATTATTGTAGGAATCGATGGATTGGGTTTGGGTTGGAGGTTAGATTGAAGTGCTTCGATGATTTTGTACTGGATTTCTTGGTTTAAAAAATCACCTTGAATAAAACTTAGTTTAGTATTCGATGGTACATCAACATAAATCGATCTCGAAAGTGGTAATAAATCACAAGCAATTAACTTATGTTGATGATGATGATGATGAATTCGAATTTCTGCTAATTTTTGCTAAAACGACTTCTGTCCAACCACCAGGTGAAGCACCCAGATCTAATACATTCATTGTCCCATGATAATGTTTTGAAAAAAGTTTTAATGTTTGATCTAATGAATTTAATTTATGTGCCGATCTAGCAACATATACTTTTTCTCCTCTATTTGAACATTTCGTTTTTCCATATGTATCGGTTTGTGCTCTTCTGAGAAATCGTTTGGATGAAGATGATTGATCTGATCTTGATGAGATCGTATGAAAAGATTGAATATGTTGAGGTGAAGTTGGATATCTTGAGGATGGATTAGAAAGTATTAGTCCTGATCGAAGTGGTAGTAAATGACATTCGAAGCCCATCAGTGATCGCAGTCTTGTGTTGCAAAGGTTCTTTTCTTTCTCTTTCAGTCGAAGCACCAGGTTCCAGGAGGCTGGGATCTGGCTAGCGCCCAAGACCCAAGGTCCGGACCTGATAATGTGACTCGTCTCAGAACGGATCAAAGTCTCGACTCGTCCCAATGCACCGGACTCGGAGTCAAATTCACCGCTTGATTTAATGACTCAGAAATCTAAGGGCCCGTTCGGACACCGCGAGCAGATACTATCTGGCGAAATTTCACACCAAAAGTGTTACATAGCGCCAGATAGTATCTGGGTCCAAACTCCACCAGATATTACATTTGCTAGAAATGTTGTCACCTGTGGCACGTTTGCTTCACAGGAATTTGGCCGCAGCTGCTGCGCAGCTAGTAGTGCTGCGTACAGCTGGTGCAGCGCTCAGCTAGCGCAGTCAACCCACTCTGATCATTGGGAGCAGTGTATGATCATCTAAATACTGTTGCCAACACCGCCAGTGACAGCAGATCCTGCATCTCACATTTCCACGATTGTCACATCTGATCAACAAACATGAAGCACTTAGATCATGTGAACCCAATCTTTTTGAACACGAGACAGGATCCAATTTTATTGTCTCCTGACCCATCTGATTCCGAAAATACCCAACTTGTCACTCATCCGGTATGTCCATGATTCCTGTTCTTCATCTTTCTTCATCTCTGTTGATCAATATGGCTTATTTTGATTATTCTCAAAAGAAGAACTCCAAGATCACGAAACCCAAATCATCATCAACCAAACCAACACAAAACTCAGATAACCATGATCCCAGCTTTGCAGTGGTTTTTGATTGTGAAATATATGTTCATGACAAGAAAGAAAGATCAGGTTTTTTGCGAATCAAGTGCTCCCGTTCCAAGATCAAATGGAATTCAAATGACTTTGACTTGGATGCCCTCAAGAATGAATGTGTAAAATGGGCAACAAGCGACGCCTCGAAGCGATCAATCACAACAGTATTGAAACAGGAGGTATTTAATAAGAAAACTTTGGGTGTTTGGACTGCGTATATTACTAAAAGCTCATCCTTCCCCAAGAGAAAGGAATGTCGAGAGGTGTTAAATGATGGAAACATTATGGACTGGGTTCAAGAGGCTTGGAAATCCAAAGCCGAGGTTGGTCTCTCGTTTGTAGTTCCAAGCCCGATCAAGGTGAAGGCGCAAGCTGAGAAGGTGATTAATTTGTATCTCGCTTTTCTCAGATGGCCTGATTCACACTGACCCATTTTTAAAACACTTAGGCTGCCCGCACTGATGAGATTACTGCACAGGCTGAACAGAAGCAATTGCGAAACGAGTCTAGGAAGAGGGCAAAGGGGGATGATGAAGGCAATGATGAGGAAAGTGACCAAGAGGTAAGTTTAGAATCAGTTAATTTTTTTCTTTAAACTTACTCACCCCACTTTCATCTTGAAAGTCAAACCATTCGAGTGTTTCAAGGAACTCACAAGACGATCCTCAGACGGCCTGGGCGTATTTGCTCCTGAACAAACATGAAATGAATAAAAAAGTCAATGGCCAGTATCCTTCGATATTTGACCCCGCTGATTCAACTCG